CCACGCGCTCGGTAGCACTGCTTCAGCAGTCAGGCTGGCGTGTTGGGCGGGAGGGTTACGACGCACTCCGCAACAGACAATGCACATCGAGCGATCTACGACTACAGCAAGAAACAGAGTAGGGCACGCAACGGGCCTCAACACCACTTCGGGAGGGTACGAGGAGCCGCGACCGGGAAGCCTCAAGTTTACTACTCGAGCAAGACTGTTGTATCCGCCAGTTAGGATTGAACGGATGGATGATCCTTTAAAAACGCGGGCTGTATGACTCAGATAGGAGCAACAACACGGACGACATCGGCCTCAACACCACTGCATGAGGATAGCAGGAGCCGTGATCGGGAAGTCTCGAATATCGCAAGTTCGAGCAAGACCGCTGTAGACATCACTTCGTCGCGACACGCTGCTAGGGCTGGTGTGTGATCCTTCCCTAAAAATGATTGTAATGCTCAAAGGGGCAACAGCAGGGACGACATCGGCCACATCATCACTTCGAGAGGGTTCGAGGCGCGGTGCTCGGCAAGACTCCGGCATCATCCTGAGCATAATCCTGCCGACGTAAGGCACAAAGGAAGCAACAGCGGTCGATCGACCCCGACACTACTTCGAGAGGGTACGGAGACCTCTGCGCCGCTTCGAGAGGGTACGAGGGGAGCGATCAAGATCTATCGAGGACACCCCGATACGAGACAAGGTACCGTGGAAACGGTCGGGAATCGGGAGCGCCGGAAACAATCTCACCGGCGACAGCATCGCCAGGGTAACCGTGGAAGCGGTGAGGGATGTAAACATACGCGACAGCATCCACCCCACCGGTCACAGCGCTAACAGCCTCGTCAACACCATTCGCGGCCTCAAAAAGTTCGACGGAAAGAGCCCGGGCAAATTCAAGGGGTGCATGAAGAAGCTTTGGGTCGTCTTGGGCGTTACCCATTGGGATATCCTTCCTCTACGGGTAAGTCAACCCCAAGCCGGATGCCAGCGACACGACAGCTTGCGCGAGATACACAACGGCAAAGGAGGACTTCTGCGCCATGCTGTACCTGCTGGTCGAGCTACCTCAAACCCGAAGTCCAGGTCGCTGATGTCGAATTGTGCCTTAAAGGACGACAGGTACGACAGCGTCGTCGTGTACTCACTGGTGTCGCCAAACCCGGATCTTCGACAGCCTATTCGCGACGACCACCCTTTTCGCGCTGTTCTGAGGTGCGTTCGCCTAATCCATCACGTTGTCCGTTCTCCAGTACACCTCGAGATCGTCGGTCTTGTAGGCCGGACGGCCGTTTTGTGTGGTCTTCTACATCATCGTGGACGATAAGATTCTCGTCCGCGAGGACGTGAAAGACCAACACAAAAACGGCCGTCCCGCCCACAAGGCCGACGATTTCGAGGTGTACTGGAGAACGGACAGCGTGATGGACTACGCGTACACGCTTCACAACCGCAGGAAAAGGCTAATCTTCGCCAGCTCGGGTTCGGCGACACCACTGAGTACAAGACCACGCTGGCACTTCAGTCGTCCCTGAAGGCACCAATCGACATCAGCGACCTGGACTTCGTGGGCCAGAGCACCACTTGGAACTTGTTGATGATTGATTGGACCGAGGACAACAAGGACGACGGAGGCTGGTGTGTACGACTTCGAGCTCAGCATTCATCTCGAAGAGCACTTGGTAGTGTGTGTGGCATGCATGGTTGCGTCTACAGTAACAACGTGTACCTGGTCTTGTCTATTCCTCCTGGACAACATGCGCCGTACACTTTTTTCAAGAGGGGCAACCACACCTGAACTCATGGAGACCCTTGTCTCGTTGTTGCGCTTCTAGCAATGTTGCAGTACTCCAGCTCTGGGCACCCAACGGTAGGGACACTAGCACCCATCCTCCCTTCGAAGGGAATCGCCAGCCTTGCCTCTGACCGCATTCTCCGCAAGCCTGTTGCATTCTCTCTTGTTGGTGCTGATCGTGAGCAGCGGCCCCACCATCGCCATCTGCTGTGTTGGTACTAGCATCCTCCTCCTCCTCCTCTTCATCATCTAGATCAATCTGTTCCATAGTCTGTTCAATACCCCCGGGTGTCTTCGGTCTCCTTAGCAGTAGCGACGAGGAAATGAACGTCTCGACGGACACAGGGTAGTGCTTTTCACCCGCATCAAATTTCACAACCGGAGAGAAGTAGGCCAGTAGCTGGGCCTGTGGGGTTGTGGTCCAGTTGCAAGAGAAGCGTGTCAGTTGATGGAACAATGGCGTCTCGGTTGACAAACGATGGCAGATGGGGAATCACGCGCCCTGCTCCGTTTGCTAACGATCTCTCTCTCTCCTCGATTGGTGCTGTTGCTGTGGAAACTTCTGGAGGGGAGTGGAACAACAGCTCTCGCCGCCATACCTTCAGCTCTTCTTCTCTGGTGGTCATGGTAAGTTCTCGTTGGTGAACATGTACGCTGCTTGTACAACGGGCTTCGCTCTCCGCTCCCCTCCCTTCTCCCCTGACGCACTCAAACAACAACTGCTGCAATGAAGAGTGGCAGAGTCTTTCCGCCTGTGCCGCTTCGGAAACGGGAGAACCAACCGCACCAGGGTTCCGAACCAAGTTCAGAGCTGCAAGCTTCAAGCTGCAAGAGCGCAGAGAGCAGCGAGCAGAGAGTATCACAGTGACCAGTCACAGCCACAGCATGCACCAGATGCGACGCCCCAGATTCGCCTCTGTCTGGTGAACCCCACCCTACATACCGTTCGCGATCTTGTTGGTGGTGTAGCGTCTACTGTAGAAGTAAAAAGAAGGTACACGAGCAAGATTTATCTGGATATTCTCTCTGCCGCCTCAGCCACCCGCGGATTTCTCGACGTTGATCACTTTATGAAGTGCATCACAAGCTGAGAAGATACGCCGTCCGCGGGAGCACTGTAGGAAATGTTGCACACTGGTCTTGCCGTCAGACCCTTTTCGATTGCCTTGCGACGTCGCCATGGATTCAGTACGGATGACACGTTGATTGTAGAGGATCTTCAGGACTCAGGCTTTCCACGCCTCTGATTGGTCGGACGTTGGTTGGCAGTCGATTCCTCTCTAGCGTCCTCTCTCTATTCCTCATTCCGACAACGCGCCAGGCCGCTACCACCAGAACTGGCGCCACGCGCAGCACCGCGCCCGTCGGTGTTCGGACTACACACCGCCGGAGCCAGTGGCGTTCTTCGTTTGCCGCGTGTGTCGTCCCAGTCACCCTGGAGGTCACTATCGTAAGAGTCGGAGAGTTGGCACGGGCCGGAGAGATGGCACCGGTCGGAGAGATGGCACCGGGATGCGATAAAAAACCCGAGAACAAAATATTTAATTCGATTTACGCACCGGGGTCGGTGAGATCGCACCCGGTGTGATCTCTCCGACCCCCAAATTCAAGATTGAACTCCTTTTCAGCTGCCGGAACGAGGTACATGTCCGAACCTTTTACATGTGGGGACGGAGTCAGCGGAGCGCCACTCCTTTACGTACGATTGGATGGTCGCGGTTCACGCGGGATGCCAGTTGTTTTCATATCTATATTGGAATGCAAGTTGCCAACCGTACACTCAACCAAACACACAACAACGTACCAGCCGCACCCTACCCCACCTTACACAACCCGGAGCTATTGTGCTTATCCGTACGTACTGGTATCCGTAGAAGAAGACCGAAACGAAAGCGGGGACCAATTGGCACCGTGTGTACTGGTACCACCAGATGCGCTATTTCGCCACTTTTTTCGGGGAATGTTGTATGTGTATTTCGCCGCCTTTTTTCCGGCTCAGATATACAACGGGCCCGCAATTAAGAAAAATTCTGTTCAGAAAAAAAAGCTCACATGTATGCGAAGAACAAGAAAAAGGGCTCAGAAACTCACCTCAATCTCGGCCAAGACATAAGAAACGTCCCAATAAGAAACATGATCGTGGAATACCACGAGAAAAAAGAAACAACGGATAGCTGAGGAAGCGTGTCCAATAAGAAACCTCCCATGGTGCTGCCAGCTCCCACCACTATACCTATGCTATCATAGCTCATCATGTAGTATTTTTTTTGTAGGGGGGGAGAGTGGTTATTTTCGGGTCGCCCCCCGGCCCCCCGCGCCGATGCGGGCTGCGGTATTCACTGCTGTTGTATTGCCTTACTGCCACAAATCACGGGAGTCAGGAACTTCAGGAGGAGGGCGAAAATCCCAATCAATGTTCGCCACTACCGAGCTGTCGATTGAAAACTCTGCATGAAAAGGCTTGGTGTGTTGTTGGTTTCTTCGCCAGAAATAAAAAAATAAGAGCAGCAGGATGATGCGACAGCCCCAAGGAATTAAGAAATCCGTTTTCAGAAATTGGCCGACATCGGCTGGTTCTTCGGGCGAAAATAAGAAATTGAGGCTCGACCCGATTTCGACGTTTCTTATCTCCGCGCCCGTTCTGTATGCGTGTGTGTGCAGAAGACCGTGTGTGTGCATGGGTACCTACACTGGGAGATGGCACCGGGGTGCGTGCATACAACACCTGTGTGCATTTCATCGGGGATCGCACCGGTCGGAGAGATCGCACCGGGGTGCCTTGAAAATTCTAAACGAAAAGATTTAATTGCATTTCCGCACCGGGGTGGGAGAGATGGCACCGGGGTGCGATAAAAAACACGAGGAAAAAACATTTAAAAAAAACGATCGCACCCGGTGCCAACACTCCGACTCTTACGGTATATATGCCTTTCGGTATCTTCATCTGGGTGCATCAGCCGGAGGTCTACAGGAGGAAAAGCCACACAGGATTCAATGTTCTCTGTCTGCCTTCTGAGAGGTGCTCGAACCCCTGTTTATCGCGAGAAGGGGTCGGCTGTTCCTTTTCCTCGTCGACCGTGAAGTCGACTCTATCGCGCAGCAGTACCCACGGAATACTACGTACATCGCTTTCCATTACATTGTGTTGACATCCATAGTGAAAAAAAAAACGCAGTTCGTATGACTGCGCCGGGGGGTTCGAACCCACGTCCCACACGCCAGGTTATCAACAGAACCATTCCAGCCACTGCTACCAACTTACGCTGCAAATACCAGCACACATGTTGGTTTAACCTCTAATGTGCAACGTATGCACAGCGCTGAGAATCGGTGAAAAGTAACGCGAGGCTAGCAAGCGCATGCGACGAAATCGTCAGAACAATTTTCCGGCAGGGGCAACGGCCGACCCCCCCCCGTCGACGCTGTTTGCATCTCCTACACCGTCTACACCGGCCTAACCCCCACACAACACGCATCTACAACATACTCCACCGCCGTCGCTTCTCGTAACAAAACAGACTAGAGCAACATCAGCCAACGCAAAGGAAGGCTCTCCCCACGGGGATGTAGCGCGCACAACAGCAGAATAACTGAACAATTTGTACGGAGGTTTCTTGCCAGAATTCCTTCCGTTCCCGCTGTCCAAGACTTCAATTTCGACGAGCTTGCCCGCGCCTGTAGTATCTAAGGCCCACGGCTGCGAAAACACATACTCCTATTTACTACCACTGCCTCTAATTTCCTGCGGGGAAAGTTTCAACTCCTTGTAGCTCCCAAGTATCAAACGCACTGCGACGCAACCGACGTTTCCATTGCCGAAAAATACAACCATCGCAGGGCCGATCACATCATTTGTCACCCTCGCGTGAGACGGCAAACATTTCACGAACGGTCGGTCAGAAGGCCTCGGTCGCAACTTTGACGCACAGCATCTCGCCTCCTCTTCGCTGAAAAAATAAGTACAATCCATACGTCTCATGAGCAGATAACCCCCCGCTCTGTAGAGACCGCTCATGTCAGCGAAGCGCCTTGTACACCTTCGTTGTGGCAAGTCTACTCTTCCCTCACAATACACAATGCCCACAAACGAATAAGCGTTTAACACCGTAACCCTTTAAGTGCATCAAAATCACCGGGCGTCAGAGCAAAGAGCTGTAAGAGCTGTACGTGCCCCCCACTACGGAGCAATCACCGTCACGCTGCCCTGCCGAACACCCCGCCAAACAAACAAAACTACAAGACGCGCTGCAACGTTAAATTGGCTCCTAAATATGCATGAATCAAAAACATTTATACCAACCGCGCGTCAGGCGAGCGCTGCCGGTCTCAAGGCGGCAACCTGTCACGAACACTGGGGCACCCGTAATCCCACGCGCTTAACGTTTTGACGCCCAACCCCAAGAGCAAATACAAGATTTCATCGGAAGCTGACAAGCGCGTATGCTTTTCCACGCCACAGCAGTTACACCTCTCGTAACGGCACTTCCTTTGCTGCCCAAACACATCGACAGAAAAAATCAACAGTCGTGTGACAGCTGATCGCGGACTCCCCCAACAACGGCGGGACTCACGACACTCTCACGCAGATGGCGAAGCTGGCGCCACGTCTACCGCGCTCGCGGTCTCGGCGATACGCCGAGATTCGTCCATGAAGGCGCTCGGGCCGAAGGGGCCTCGTCTCGAGTTGAAGCGCCACAGGTGAGCGGCCATGCGGACGCCGAACAGCACGTACGTCATGCTCACCCAGAGGCCCAGGACTCCCCAACCTCGCCGGAGCGAGAGCACCGATCCTGCGCCGTACGCGAGCAGCGGGAGAGAGAGAGAGAGAGAGAGGGGGGGGGGTGGGGGTGGCGGTGTGGCGAGGGCGATGGCTAGCGGCTAGCTCTCGTGTAGCTGGGAACGCGACTGCAACGACTGCCGCCGCATCAGCATACGGGAACAAAAAAAAACTCGAGACCTAAATTACCGCAGGGGGGGGAAGGTGAGACAACGAGGTGCTCGACCGAGCGACAAAATACTATCATGAGCGCGCGGATACCGTACCATCGCAAGCATGCAACAGACAAAAACACGACGCTTTTATCCAGTGAAAAAAATGCGGGAACAAGACTTACCCACGACTCCACACAGCGAAGCCACCGCTACGGTCTTGGCGTTGTACACGAAATCAGAGGCCCCGTAAAATAGGGAGTCCCAAGTCCACACCACGCAGCACATCGGGAAGGCGTACAGGATGGTGGGAAACACCTGCCGGGCGGTATCACCGCCGTCGTATCCGGCGTGTGGACATCGTTATCGGGAGATCGAGCGCGGGGAGCGGGGAGCGGGTGGCAAGCAGGCAGGCGCGTGGTGGTCGGCAAGAACAAGAAGGCAAATCTGGGAGTCCCGTCACAAAAACAAGGCTACCTCAAGGTAAACGTAGCGTAACTCCTCACCATGATGTCTGTGAGCTCTGGACATACGCTCGTTTGAAAGCCCTTGTTAGTAGGTAGCGTTCATACGGTACTCATTTCATTTGAGCTTGTTAATGGAGAGCAACCTGTTTGCGGCTCATCTCGCGAGGCAAGGAGCCAGTCCTTTGTCTGTACTCCGTAACCATAACGGCTCCTGGCATGGCAGTCAAGATGGCAGAACCGGCACGAGGTTCGTGTGCTGCCCTCAAGATACCTCCCTGGGCTCACAACGAGAGCCTGCCTGCTAAATAGGTCGGTGGCATTTTCAAGCACCAAACAGTTATGAAGACCACACGAAAAAAAATACCCTGCCCTTCTTTCGTGTTGTGTTATTTTCTTCTGATACGGCAATCACGCCCTCATCTCTCTCTCTCTCTCTCTCTCTCTCTCACCCAACACCACATCTGCAACCCTCCGTACAAGCGCAATACACACCCATCCCAATCACACACAGCCCACACCCACCTGAGACACGAGGGCTGCAACCTCACGAGACTGGCACACCACAGACAGCAGCGCCGGAAACACCAACCTCGAGCACGCCGCCAGGCTAAACCCCAAGCCTAGGCTGAGCGTGAGAACACGCTTGGCGATGGATCTCGCGGTTTCCCTCGACTCAAGAGCGGCCCCGTCCCATGCCGCTTTCAGGTCCAGCCCCGAAGCCTTGTGAGAGTCTCGGGCCAAGCCCAGGTACTGTGCCACAAGGACTTGGCCGGAGGAGCCGAGGGACTCTTGGGCACCGACCGAGAGAGAGCAGGCCGGTAACAAAGGTACAACAACGATAGTAGAAAAACACACCATTCGTTAGCGTTAAAAAACACTTGCAAGCACGTCAAGAGAGAGGAACCCTTCTGTGTGGCCAAGGATTTGAGATCTGCCTGGCATATTTCTGTGAGCGCTGATTTAAATTGTATTTATCCTGGGTTACAGCAGCGGTGGTCCCGACATAAAGCCGGTACGTGTCACACCAATTTAACCGGGGCATTTAATAGCGGGCACCCGGCAATATTCGGAACATAAAACGACCTAAATATCCGTGTCACGCGATTTCATCGGCAATATACCGGGTACCCGGCATTATATCGGGACCACCTCTGCCTGTGGTAGGCATATGCAGCCAGGCCTCACCTTGAACGAAAGCGATCACGAGCCACAGCGACAGCATGAGCTGGTGCGCAGCCACCTCCAGGATCCCCATCCGAGTAGCAGCCGACGCCATTACCGTCCATGCTCCCACGTTGCACAACTGATGACGAGGCGAAAAAAAGCGAGCAATCCATCACAAAAGTACGATAGCGGAGATTGAGCCTTCTATGAAAAAGACCACTACAGCAACAAAACAAATCGTATCTCTATCCATGGACAAGGAGTCCCGAAAAAAATCAGAGGATTTCGACGTTCTTTCAGAAGTCGGCCAGCACAAAGGAAACCAACCACGTTGTTAGTCCGCTAGCACTCGGACGTCCCAAAAATACTCGGGAGTACGGTCATGACGGTGTGGAGTACGGAATGCACACACATGTCCCGGGGTCAACGTGAGACTCGCCCAGCTTAGCAAGCAGGCCCTACGAGTGAACGGTTTGGCAAAAAAAAGGACAGGGACGGGTTTCGGGCCACCACCAAGAGGGGAAAGTGGGTGGGATACAGCGGGGGTCCCTCAATAGTGCCATTTGGACAGTGCCACTGCCCGGTATTGTGCAGCGGGTGAATTCGCGTGACACGGACAGAATGCGATACTCAGGCTGTCTCACACTCTGAATAGTGCCGGTGAATCTGGCGGGCATATACCGACACTACTGCGGGACCCCCGTCGTACATAAGGTTAGACCGGCGCAAGGTGCGGAATTTGCGGAGCCTCTCTTGTACCTGACGAAACACCATCGCCCCTCCCGCTCCGAGAAACTGCTTCACTTCCCCCAAGCCTGGAAGGCTTACCCCCCCCGCCAATCCAAGCCTCTCCCTTCTGTCCCACATGTACTTGGTGTACACCAAGGCTCCCACCTAAAGCGACAGCAGCCGAAAACAGCAAAGCACCGCAGCGGGTGTGGTTGATTATCAGGCCGCGAGACGTAGGCCTACTTATCGGCTGTGCCGATTGCGCGACACTCCACACAACTCCTTCACCAGGTGCACATGTTCTTACTTTTTCGAGCGCGCGACACGCGTTTCCACTTCCACAATTGCCACCAACCATTTTTTTTTTCGCTGCGGAACATTCCCAAAGCCTCAACCGGCACAACGTGATAAAGAAACAACGAAACTGACTCGGAGGTTCCGTCGAGACCGTTGCAGGCAGGGGTTGAGCTTGGAGCTTGCAAGCACAACCTCTCCTCCTGGTGCAGACGAAAGCCGCTCGTGTTTGCATACCGAAGGCTGTGCAAGATGAAACACCCCCTGGACCGATTGTCAAAGCTCGACTACTCCACGACGACGAGGATGCTAACACCAAAAGGTAAAGAAAGCTCTAGACGAGAATGTTCTCCAAGCCGCCATTTTCGGCGCCGTCACTGCAAATGCTGCAGAATAATCGAGCTTTGAAAATCGGTCAAAGGGGAGTGATACCTTACGTACTGCAACCTAGATATCTGGCGCCTCCACGACAATGTACCACCGAGCTTTCTTTCGCTTGTAACGGAACATTCCCGAAGCCTCAATCGGCACAACGTGACACAGAACGTCGCGGGGTCTTCACAACGTAACCGCTGCAGGCAGGAGTCAAGCATGCGAGGACATGAAGCTGACGACGACCTCAAGCCAACCCGTCTGCATAGCTCACCCACTGCGCCGCTGCCGTAGCCATCGCCGCGCCTGTGACGCCAAGGCCACACGAAAACATCAGCACCGGGTCCAGCACGAGGTTTACCACTCCGACCACTATCGCGTTGTTCAGGCCCGCTTTGGGCTCGCCCATTCCCCTGCAGTGGCACCACCGCGACACGTGTGGAACACAGGTGTTCAGGCATGTGTAATTGTTCAGCAATCGCAGTAGCACACAGCAAGCAATGCGTGCCGCAGGCTCAGTCCGGGCGATTCGCACTGGCTCTGATAAAGTTATCGCACTGCCGGTCAAATCAAAGACACCGCAGCCGTATGCTTGGCTTTTACCGAAACAAAACTAGGTTTGCGACACAAACATCACTCGCCAACGCCTATCCCTCTCCTCTAACCGGCGCTCCAGTTGACAGGCAGTCCCGAGACAAAACGGCGGTCACGCACGCACGAAAAGCCTCCCACGCTACTGCTGGTGACGGTGCGAGCTCAACCCAATCCCGCCGAAATCCCGGGGTACGCGCAAGCCATGTATAAGATTGGAGACGTCCACACCTTGACTGTTGCAGAGCTGGCTACTTCGCTACTGCCCTTGAACTCAGCATTTTTGGCTTGAAGAATGCTACGTCGGATGTACGCATGTCGTGCTGACAGACCTCGCAAACACCACCACCACAGCTTGCTGCCTTGCAAGAAAACGGCTGTGTTTTTTTTGTTAGCACGAGCTGGCAAGCTCCCTTCAAGCACCTGAAAGCCCCGCACGCCACGAGCAAGAAAAGATTGGCGGGAAACGCCGACGCCCGCCATCGAAGGTAGGGTACCGCCAGGCTCATAACTTCCTGCGGAGCCCCCATGAGAGACAGCAGCCCAGCCGAGTTAACGTAGAAGAGCACCGCCATGATGACCCCCATCGACACTGCCAACCCGGAGGCAAGGGTGAGGGTGCGTCCGATGGCAGCCCGGTCGTTCATGGCTCTGTATCAAAGAGCACAAGCCAAGGCAATTGATGACTTGGTATCAAGACCGGTGATAAAGTCGAAGCAAAATACAGCAGTGGCGCTCTGCTGTACGCTGGTGCGGAGACGCGATCCTCAGCGTACTATGGGAGGTTGCTCAGCGGTGGCCTGCTCTGTCTTGTACGTGAACGACTAATCGGTAAACGGGCGGCTTCCTGGGGCACCCCGTTACGGAGTCGAGACTGAGCCAGACCCCGGGTACAAGCAGGAGGTGGTCGGGGTTACCACCGAAAACAGAAGCCCACGCGCGCACTCGATCTCTCACCGTTGCTCCGAGACCAGCACGGACGTGGACACCAGAAGAGCGCAGCTGCACGTGCACAACGAACAGGGACAAGGGGACGACACCCGCATCAAAACAGCCCGGTCAGTAACTCGTGTCCCAGCAACATGGGGGAACGGGGGCTGCAGCAAGCGGGTGAAGGGGCACCGTTCAAGGAAACAGAGAGCAATCGTGCGTGCATATAGCCAATGACATCATCTGCTTCACCCACCCCCGTCCGATAGAACGCCGCCGATTCGAAAACCGCAGACCCTACCAGTTAAAGAGCAACATTATCGGAATGAACAGTATTTCCCCCCCATGATTGTTACCTAGGGAGAGGATTGACACGCAAATTTCGAAAACGATGCCAGCAGCGTGATCAAGAAGGAAGTGTGTGGTTTGGTCGTTATGCATGCCCCCAAAAAGCAACGCCTTCGTGCTCTCAATAAAATGCACAATAATACTGACAAAACGCACCACAACGACCAACAAAGTGAAGCTACAACCATTTGAGTGCACACAAACCCAGCATTGCGCGAGAGCACGACAGGACAAGTACCCGGCGCGAAGCAGTTTCCCCACGCACCTCGCCGTGACGAAAACGAAGTTGAACGCCGCGGCGCAAGGGCCAATGGCGGCAAGGCTGAGAGCCCCCAGCCTGCCCACGTATCCGGTGTCGACCAGGGAGAGGCAGGGGTCGATCAGGACGGCCCCGAGGGTGGGCAAGGCCAGCGCGAAAATCTCCTTGTCGAAGACGTGGGGCTTGGAGACGCCCTCGACGGCGGAGTTGATCTTTTGCTTCGCGCGGGTCCGTTTTCGGACGAGTGTTGCTGCTGGCGGTAGACTGGCACTGATTGCGTGGAAGAGGGGTACGTTTTGGACACGCAGGCGAACGAGGGTGCGTTTGGGACACAGACGCCAAGGAAGGGGGAGTCAACCGGTGAATTTGTGTGCTTATTGCGTCTGCGCCGACGAGCCTACCTGTCTGTTTCATCAGCCGATGGGAGGGCTACGGACAATGCAGACAAGTGTTTTTGGGGGCTACACAAGGAGGCGGAGAGGGCGAAAGCCAATATACGTGATCGTTTGAGAGATGGTTGGCGACGCGATATATTATATATTAGAGAGCAGCCTTCGTTACTCTTCGCTACCACAACCATCATCGCTCGACCATCATCTATAGTCGTCCGTCATATTCTTTACGGGAACAAAGTCCAGGCTTCCAAGGCTCACGAAACGCGAAACGCCTCTCATATGGATCAAAACCAAGGCTCGCTGCCATCCTCTCATATAAAATATGTTGTTGTCACAACAAGCGCATAGATTGTGCCTTATGAACGTCAAAGCTGCTTATCAACGATGAACGACCAACACCTAGCGCTTTGCCATCTCGTTCGTGGACGGTGCACGGCACCCCAGGGTTTATCATGCCCAGAAAGAGTGTGTGTGCAAAGTAACCTACACCCAAACATCGACGTTTCACATTGAGCACTATCTGTTCCTGGAGGTTCCAGGTTGAACTTCTGCCATTCACATGAAAGAGAGATTGGAACGACGCCCAGACTTAGAGCAAAAAGCCAAGGCACGTAGCTGCACGCAGTGTCGAAGCCATGGCTGCGTACCTTGTTCGTTGGCACTGCAAGGTTGAACTACAAATCAATCTGCGAAAGAAAAGAGCGGATGACGACGAGAGTGGTGCAGAACAAAAAGCAACCACGGCTGCGTGCACCAATTATCGTCGCGTACTGGGTTTGTTGACGTTGGTCTTTTTACGCAGGGAAAGGCGAACATAGAGCTCCGAGAGCCCAGACGAACCCACCCACTCTGTGTGGTCCTCAGAAAACACACTCGCCTGGTGCCGTCATCATCATCAGCTGGAGAAGGCGGCACAACTAGGCTTGCGTCCTCCGATGCCATCACCATCCCCAGGACGGGCCGCCGTGAAGCTGACGCTGAGAATTCTCTACGATACCAGGCAGTAGAACCCCTGGATAGGAACAACACAGCAGTGGTACCGGGAGCCAACGGCACCGATAGAGAGGCGGGGTGCGGAAAAATTGAAAACTCGGTGGGAAAAAACGCGGCTGATACTACATACTCGGAGTAGACTTGCGGTTTGGGGTGTTCATGTCCGCAACACTGCTGACGTTGGTTTCAATTTTCAAACGTACGAATCTATCATTCAAATTCCCGATCACCACTCACGTGTAGCTCCAACCCGGAGCGGAGACGAACGCCTGGACATTGGTCTTGAGGAAGGTCAGCAGGATAAGGCGGAGGGTGAGCGTGGTGGTGCGGCATGGCATGCTCGAGCCGCGGACGACGAGAGAGATGGTACGTAGATTTCGCAGATGATGATGATGCAGGCAGTCTGTAGCAGGATTCGAATCAGCTCTGCGATGCGGAAACACCACAGACAAGTGGGTGCTGAGGCAGCTCGTCCCCCGCGTCTTCGCCCGCCAAAGGTTGATCAGGTTCTACTGTATAGCTATCTGCTGGCTGGGGCGTTACCTTGCACAACCAAGACGACACACAGACCAAGCAAGACCCAATAGACGAAAAAGCTACAACGGGGCTCTGCAGCTGGGTGTCCTTTTGGGGGGGGTTGCAAACAAGATTGCAATATGGCGTGGCTGAGACGAAAAAAAGAAAAAAGGAAGATCGCACTGGCAGACACGCTGTTACCGCACACACTTCGCATCTGGGATAGCCGAGAGCGGAACGAGAGAGCGACAGGGGGGCAGAGAGGTGCAAGGTGCAGGCTCCGATTGAAGAAGAAGGGTTGTGGCTCCAGAACTACTGCTGTACATGCCTCATCCGCAACAACTTGCGGGAAAAGCAGACGTTGGACTGAAGACCCAGATCGCGTCATGAAGATACGCGCAGCAAAGCAAGCAACAGGAGGGAATGATGGTGTTGCGTTGGGCTATAGGCATGGTATGTTGGGTGCATTTGTCTTAGTTGTGTACATATACACCGTAATGCCTTCGGTACCGGGTGGAGACGCTGGAGAGCTACTTGCTTCGGGATGCCAACTGGGGACGCCACATCCGCCTGGTGAGAATGATGATGCTAACCTCAACGCAATAACCTTGACTTGAACATGCCTGCATAAACGATGTCAACTTTTGCCGTGCTCGCTTCCTCGTAGAAAATAAACAGCTGCATGTGGTGTCAGTGGCGCACAATACATAATTCACTACTGCTGTCGATCGCTTCGTGCGAGAGCCCGACGTCTCTCATACATAAAATAGTTCGTCGAGACAGCAAGCTTGGAGACCGTCTTGGTTGTTGGGGACTTGTTGGATCGCCCACTAACAGGTTGTTAACGTGTTCGCTCTTATTGACCACCGCGTGGCAGGTTACCCCCTCCTCGGCACCATTTATTTCTTTCTCAGCGGGCTACCTCTCCCGTCGATAGCACCGCCAACGGCCTGCGCTGACCATGTCCCTGGCACCGTCGCTTTGGCGGCGAACATTCTCTCTGGCGTCTTTGGGTCAATAGCGGCCGTCCTTGTCCATCTGACGATCGAGGAGTGGACTCATTCCTCCGTACAGGCTTACAACTCAGGGGCGGCTTCCGCCGCTGCCCTGCTGTTCAGCTTCAGCCCTCTTGCATGGGAATACAACACCGGCTCTGAGGTGTTCGCCCTCAACAATGTGCTGGTGGCGGTGGCGCTGTATGTTACTGCACGGATCGTGACGCGACCGAGTATGACTTCGGCGAGGATTGGCGCAGTGGTGAGAGGACAACCTAATCTGTAGCGAATCTACGGCATACATCGGTCGGTCTCAAAACACACGTTGGGAGAACCAGGAACTCATTTTGGGCTTTGCCTCCCCTTGGTCTTGTGGGTCGGCGAGCCGTCTCGTAGAATTCACGCTTTTTGTCGACCTTCTTGTAGACGTAATGATGCGATGCATACCGACAGACACGGCGTTGGGGTATCCGAATCAGATGTGGCTTACCGGGCAAACGTGGGGAACACGCTTTGGTTGGTTATGATTCCTTTGTGTACGCCGTCAACGGGAGACGTGGCGCCGTGCCCGCCCGGTCATCTCGAATGCAGGTTTGCGGCCTGGCACTTTGCAATCAGCACGCTTCCATTCTTGTGCTGGGGCCCTTGGCCGTCTCCGTTTTGAAGGCCCTCACGGAAGAGTCGCTGCTGTCCTGTCGGTCGCTAGCCGAACTGGGAGGACTGTGGTTTCCCCTCGGGCTGTCTCCCCACGCAGCCCTGGTCGTGTCTTCTCGAAACCCACAGCAAGGTTCTTGGGGGGATCTATCCTCGACCGCGGGCTTTCTTCGGCACGTTCTTCGCTCTGAGTACGGCACGCTCAATCTTGGAATTCCCGTCCCAAATGCTGAAGGCGCGGTAGAACGGATCGGAGAGTACTTTATGGACAGTAGCAGCCAGACGATGCATGTAGGACCACCAATGGCGGCACTTGGAGTCGGGTGGGCGCTGGTCGTAGCTCACACGGGTGCGCATTCCGATAAACACCGGCAACATTCACGGAGGGTTCGCCACTTCGGTCTGGGATTGGCGACGGCGTGGGCATTCTATGTCACCATCTGGCACTGCATTTTTTCAAACATTTCGCTACATCGTCCCATGAGCAGAGCGGTGCATGCAAGGTTTTGGATACAGCCGAATCTGCTACTCTGCGTCGCGGCGGGTTGTGGGTTGGGCCTGGCAGCAAACACCATCGCTGCTAAACTTTGGAGTGTTTGTCCATCTAGCTGTCGGCTTGGTAAACGTTTCGCCGGGGCAAGTGTATCTCTCCTGATGCCGACGGTGATATCGACAACGATGTTTTGGCAACGTTGGGACTCAATGGACAGAGGTTCTTGGATTGGAGGGTCGCACGGCTGGACGATGCATCTCTATGGCCAGGTGAACGCTCACGCCCGTGCTTCAAACCTCACAAGCACTACACGTAACGAGCGGGCTGTACAACGTCCTTTCTTCTCTTCAAGGCTTAAGGCTTCGCTTTGGACCTCTACATATGGTCTAACCGTACGATGTGTTTCTCCCGTGAATGGCATGCCATAGTTGATTCATCACTTTGTGTAACTTTTCTTTTCCGCACGGCTGTCCTGAAAGGCCCTCCTATCGGCCCTTCCGCAACGGGCCTTGCTTCTATCCCATACGGATCTCGACCTCAACGCAGCGCGGTATCTCCGAGGTGCGTAAAGCACTTGCCAATAACGGTTGCAGTATTTTCATACTATTGTAGCTGATCCGGCATCGCTCTGTGACATGAAGGTTAAACGTCCGACTAGCTAATCATTGGTAGAACAGCGCAGGGGCAGTGGAAACGCACGCAGTACGGATGTTGAAACGATATGAAAGAAGAAAAGGGGACGATGGAATAAGATATGCACCTGGTAAGCCGTTTTGAATTCCTACTATCCATGGAAAGAATCGGTCCATTCTGGCGAGGCTTGAACCATCAGGACATGGTCGCGATTTCTCTTGTCATGAAAGTCGGTCAAACTCTGTGGTGGATGACGTTCATCCCTGCCGACGCCAATAGCCCCAGCGTGTTGCAGCTGGTTGGTACCATTTTCGCTGCGACGAGTCGATTGAAGGCTGACTATCCGGCTGATTTCGTCAGGAGCAAGAAAGCAAGAAGACAGAGTCGTCCAAGAAATCTCGTACTTGAAATGCAGTTAATAGCTTAATTCCTTGGCAAGCGCGAGACTTCTTCGGCGACTCGGGAAGGAGTCTCTCTCTTCTTGCTTTCTTGCTTTTTTTGGCGAAATCGGCGGGATGGCCAGCCTTCAATCGACTCGTCACAACGATATTGACACCAGCCAGCTGCAACACGACGGGGCTGTTGGTATCGGCAGGAATGAACGTCATCCACCACAGAGGTTGCCCAATTGCATGAAAAGATACATCATGTTTCGAGGTGGATTCAACCAAACACCGACACAGTCATTAGCGCAAGAGGTACCAATCAAGCCTATAACTTGCTGATGAGTGTGTAAAGTAGTGCAAGAAGGCCAATGAGATGATTTCTCGCTCCTTGGGGATTCGGAATTTGAAACTCCGACTGAAAGTGATCCTTAAGACGCACTTGTTTTTTTAGAACGGGGAGTCCTTTTGACACCGTGTTGTTGGTCTCGTAGAGGAACAATTATGTGAAGAAAGAGAAAAATGACGATCTAACACCTTGACCTGTGGCTGGCAGTGTGTGAGGGCCTAAGGACGGATGTCACCCACATCAGCCTCCAGATGATGCCCTACCCCTGGTGGGAATCTACACAAGCGGATCTACACCCAGGGGTCGTGTTTCCTCCGATTTTTCGGGGGGTGTCCACGAGACGCGAAAGCGAAGGCAACGCCGCCCTGGTAACTCGCTTCCTGGCGGCCAACCTCCCGCAAGGACGTCAAATATTTTTGGACATGCAAGCTGTGGATGAGAGAGAGATAGGGGCGGTAGGATTCTACCGCGGGTTCAGCTTGGTGCCGCATGGGTTGGTGTATCGTGTCCTGCCGAGATTGACGCTCCAGGAAAGTGAGAGTTGGCACGAGGGAGTTGTCAAGCAACTTCGAAGGTGAGGTTCTCCGGGATCAACTTAACTCTTCGGGGTTTGGAAATTGAGCAAAGGATACCCTAATAGCCTTTGCATTGTGATTTTTCAGCTCAACCTAGATTGGAGCAAGCTCACTTATGCGGTGATGAACCCGCGAGCTTGTACGGTGTTGGAAGTTTCAACACAATCCGCGTGGTGAGAGCTGGATTGTCCCTTTCCCCAGGGAGGGAGCAATCCCCACCAAGGTGGTGGAAACGTCGAACGAAAAGCTTGCTGCTATCAATTCTTGTTTTTTACCGGATCCTTGGGATGTTCCCCCGTGACTTCTACCCAACTTCAGAGAAACGAACTCATTTGTCGTACGTGTGCATTGCGTGCGACTTTTCATCTCTGTTCTTCCTGGCACTCGGTCTCGCCTGCTGCAGCCTCAGCGAGTGTATGCAGCCCGTTGCAGTGAGCCGGTATCGTCCTGGCACATGGGAATTTTCGGCAGCAAGTGTGTACTGGGATGCTCACTATCAAGCCGGCCTCTTCTTCTTGTCTTACGCTATCGGGGCGTGGGATAACGCGCCCAGGGCAACGCAACGCCCGCATCTCCTCCCGGCTCTGAGGGATGTGAGTGCAGTAAACTGTGTTTAGGGCGATATCCGTCTAGTGTGCATTGCGATCGTCGATTCTCTACAGAAAATGCATCGTCAAGCGGACTATTCATCTGTCGATAACGTCTGTCTAAACTGTCTTCTCGATTATGATGTTGCGGAATATCGGTTCAGGCCTCGGCGCTTCTTCAGCGTACTCTGGAGGCTGCCGATGAGCATGGAACGTTCTCTTCCTCGAGGTCAGACCTGCTGAAGAACACTGTTTTGGCCAAGATCCGTCTGCTCCAAGCTCTGCAGGCGGAAGCTGCGTCTAATCCCCTCAGCAAGAAGCACTCGTCATCGGTAGATTCCGTCTCTCACACGGAGAGACGGTACGCGGAAATAATATTGGCGAAGGAGCACTGTCTCACGCTTATCCCGCGGTTCTTGTTAGAGGCCATCGACGACAAAGATGCTGAAGCTTTTGGGAAAGTGTACGTTAAGCTCAGGGAAACGAGTCACATGTAGGGATGCGGGTCTGTCCGGGAATAATGCAGACAATAATAGGCAGCGTGCTCGGAGACAAGCGTGTCAACGGATAGAGGGAGGTCTGTGGCCGTACGAGACGCGGCTATTGTTCGACTTTGCACGCGAGGTACCGGAGGCGGGTGATGGTGTATGCGGGTCACCATCACACAACATTATTGTTGGGGGTAACGCCTAATGTAGGTGCATGTCTCCCTGCATAAGAAAAGAACGGTTTTAATGCGTGAACGCGCACATGCACAATGTACACTTGCCGAGATCGGACTTTGATCAAACAGTTGTATCTCTCATGCGGGCGTGTTCCCAGTCGGATTAGACTTGCTGAATCTACAGTAGAGCATTCGTCAAGCCGTAGAACCCTAGTCGCTGCTTGAACTCCGACTTCGCGATCTTGTCTTGCCAGCCTTCGATCTCGACGATTCCGAACGCTCGTCGTCCTCCCCTTCGCCTACGGTCCCACTGCTATTACTCCTCTCTGATCTTCTCGGGGTGGAACTGCCTTCGGTGTCTTCATCGGATGCTTCTGATGTTCCTCCGGACGATCTCGCTGGCGATAAATCTCGGCCGTCCTGGGAACCTTGACCACTATCCTTGCCAGACGCTGACCCTGTACCGTCGTCACTCGCGCTACGATCCCGTGTTTCGCCCGAACGGTCGGACCCCGACACCGAACCGCTCTCAGACGCGGCTTCCTCGTCGCTACCCCCTCCGCTGCCTCGACTTCGGGCATCCTCCGTGCCTCGCTCGGAGCCGCGGCCATCGTCGTCCACCCCGCTGCTACCATCCTCTTCCGAGGCGTTGGACGCTGTTTCAGAGCCCCTCGAGGATGAGCCGTCGACGCCCCTGTCTCTAGCCTCGTCAGACTCCTGGCCTGCAGAACCCTCTTCTTCTCGCCTCGAAGCCTGATCTCCTTGGTCCGCAGAGCTCTGACGGGAACGACCTCCTTCGCTTTCACTATCACTTTGGCTTCCCCTGTCGCTACCACTGGCCTCATTTTCCGACCCACTAGCCTCGGTTTGACGTTCGCTTTGGCTCCTTGATGCGTCCGTCCTCCGCCCTGTAGTGCCTGAGCCATCCGATTTTGGTGAAATCGGTGGTGTGTAGCTGGCGGCCGATGTTGGCGACAAGGGGGGGGTATAGCTCGCACGCGATGTCTGCGAGGAAGGTACCCTGTTGCGGATGTGTGCTGCTCCCGGCGACGAAGGTTCTTTGCTGCTGACCTGTCTTTCCTCATCTGGGTTTTCTGCTCCTTGTCTACTTCTACTGTCAACGTCCGAGCCCGAGGAGGTCGGCGCGTCGTTCCCATCTGTCACCTCTGTCGCAGAGCGCGCCCTGCTATCTCGACGCCTTGGTTGCTGTACTTCATCGCCCGCTCTTTTGACCCCTTCCTGGTCTTGATCAGCGACTCTGCGCGATCGACGGCGTTCACCCACCGCGTCTTGGCGATCACCATTGGTGCCCTCTTGGGATGAACTAGCGTCCCTTTGTGAGCTGGGCTGGGGAGAAGCGCTCGTTCCTCTTTCAGGGTCAACGGGAGTTCTGACTGCTGACCCCGCGCCGAGAATCTCTTGCCTGAGGGCATCCATCTCCGCAATTCCTTCTTCCAACCGCTGCTTCAGCTGGACCAGCTCCTTCTCAATGTCGCTTACCCGGGGATTTAAGTTTGATGCGTCATCGTTGCGGTTGGTATTGTCGTCATCCTCTTTCGCATCGGATTCATCTGGTCTACTGGATGAAGAGGATTGGGTGGAGCTCTTCTCGTCGGCCTCGAGCTCGTCGTTCATGGCGGCGAAGTCCATTGCCTGAAGGCACAGACGAGCGCGCCGGTATGACATAAGAACAGGGTAATTGGTACCGCCAACGATGTGTATCGCCGCTATGCCTGTTGGTACCCAGTTGCTCTATTTCAAGGGAGTGTCAGGACCAGAAATATGATACGTTGTTGACGGTCAAATAGGTCCAACGCATGTTGTAATTGAAACAAAAGATTGTCTGCAGGTGAACGAAAAGCGATAACCAACCATGGTCGCCAACATTGTGAAAGTTTCCCTTGATCACCTATTCCGTCAACTGTCGTGGAGGTCGAAATATCATGTTTCTCGGCTGACATGGTCTGGAACATGTAAACAGACCTTTGCTTGGAACCAAAGGAAACTTTGACGCTCTGTGTCACCGGGGCTTCTCGAGATGCAAACCCTACCTTCTTCGTCAACCCTTTCTTGCCCAGCTGCCCTTGAGCCTTCGCTGCCCCTTCGACGTCTAGTGGTTCCGTGCCACGGAGAGTTTTTACTTCAAGATCATTCCTAGTAACGCTGCTGCTGGTATCCTCGGAGGTGTGCTTAGCTTCGGCTTCGAGCGCGGCAGAGGCATCGGCCTTCGCAATTGCTGCGGCTGACTCTGCCGCCTGCGTCAAAAAACACCGAACAAAACGGATCGTTACACAGAATGGAGTTGTTTTGGTCATTTAAGACAGTGGAAGTCGCTCAGCCATATCTTAGGCTGGTGTTCTGTCTTGCGAACTAAAACAGATATCACGTTGTGCGAAGGTGGACCCGGGCAATTACGGAGTTTGGAAACTCGTAGATACATATAAAGGCTTCTCCCATTTGCATCGATCCCACAGCCGTACCTCGGCCATGGCTCGAAGTTCTTCAATGCGCGCCATCAGTTTCACTTCGAGGTTGTCCACGCCCGTCTGCCATGCCCTGGCAACACCTATGTCGGCCTTCAAGCTTGCAACAACGGCGTTTGTCTTCGCCAGCTCCGCCTTCAGGCTCGCCTCGTTTTCCATTGCACCAGCCTTGCGCACCTCCTCCAGTCGCACTACTTCCAAAGAGCTCTGCTCTAGCCTTTGCGTTGATGCCTTGTCCGCAACTGAACACACCATCGACGAAACCGCTAGCTTGACTTCTAGCTCTTCCTTGAGTTCTTTCTCGGCCTGTGTTATTTAGTAGCCGCGCGGAAGCAAGGCGTCATATTTTACCACCTGGCCACCACATCAGTCGATTTTCATCATAGTTTCATTCCGATCATGTTCAACTAAACGTTGATTCAAAATCACTTCGCCGGTGTTTGTGGGTGTGAGAAGGTTAACCCGAGCCAGTCCTCGGGAACCCAAAGAACGGTCGCGCACAATCATCGTGAGAGATCGATCAGCGAGGTGGCGCTGCCGCAACAGTAAACGATTCGCATTGCTGTGTATCGATTAATAATATTCTCTGTGCACGAGATGAGTCTAGGCATTTGTGCTCGAAACATGTCCATCATCTGGTCAAGGTACACTGGTGTCTGCAGGTGCATAGATCAAACCTCCCCGTCGACCAGATCAGACAGCAAGGGCTACAGCACCATACATAATAGTCACGTACCTGGCGGACCCGCCGCTCGACCTCACCGATCCGCGCCCCAGTTTCTCTGGTCAGCTCGTTCACTCGCCGTTTTTTCGCCGATCCGTTGTCGATCTCGGTGATCCTTTCCTCCAGCCCCGACGCTCGCTCGTCAAGCACCTCCTCAAGCGCCAGGTTCCTATCGCGAGATTCCGCCCTCAAGATATCCAGCTCCTTCGACACGGCCTTCACAGCTTCGTCGAGTAGGGTGCGGATCATCCCGCTCTGCGCTTGAGTGCGCTCCAAGGACTCTTCCATTGCCGCGCGTTCTTTTCGCAGCTGGTCTTCTGCCCACAGCCGCGTGCGCGAGTACGAAGCTTCTGTTGCCCTAGATAAGTCTCGGTGTAGGTCCTGCACTCCGTCAATACGAGCGGTCTCCTCGGCAGTTATTTTCTCTCGAAGTATCTGTCGGCAGTAGAGCCAAGCCCCACGAAAGATAGTAAGGGTTGTGGTTGTGGTGTCAGACGGCGTGCACGAGAAGAACATGGCGGAGCCGATAGTCAGAGGCTAAGTGTTGCGCTTCGAGCATGCGTGTCTTCTCGAACGCAGTTGAAGGAAGCATGTTGGTGATAGTTACGGCACAAGGTGCCCACAAACCGTAGTCTGAAATCGGTCGACTATCCTCTTGTGGGTGGGGCGGCCTACAATACTAGTGCCAACACACCCACTAACACAACGTGGAGAATCAGGAGGACGTCATATATCGGCATCTTGTCGAAATAAAATCTAAGTCCAACGCTCATCATCGAACGAGACTCCTGTTGCGATTCTCGTAGAATTTATGAGTCTGTTCAACTCGGCCCAGCGTGGATCACTCTTCAAAAATCATTTTTGTTTTTTCATTTGAATGCGTAGCCGTTGGTCTCACATTGGTCTCCGTTGCGACCCTGTCGGCGCTTTGACGTACTCTCGACACCTCCCGGTTGACCTGTATGTGTAGTTCAAAGGAACGTATACGGCACGCTACTATTATTATAGCGGTTCACCATCAAGCTCACAGGTGAGTAAGCACTCAGAGTGCATGCGTGCACCTCCGACCCCGCCTGTGTTGCGGCCTCACAAATTTGACTCTGATTTCGTCCATAGCTGTCACGTGGCATCCGTAACCCGCAAACGACTCCGTTGTGGAATCCTGGTGGATAACACCCCTTCGCATCTTTGGAACGCCTCTGTCAGTAGACCGTGTGGGTTCTGGTTGTATTTGACGGTTCTGGTTGTATTTGACGGCCGCAAAAGCGACGCGTTCACCTGCTCTTGGGCTTGGTGGAGTAGAGAATTAACCCTCTCCGACTCATCCTCCTGAGCATCCGCCAGCGCCGTCCTCAAGCTGCCCTCCAAACGCTTCACCTCCGCGTAGATCTCGTCGGAACGCCTTTTGTTCGTGCGGTGGCCGGTCTCGAAGGCTTCCTTGAGGGTGTTCCCTTGTTCTGCCATGGCTAGCTCTATCGCCTGTATCCGTGCCATCTCCTCCGACTCGACGCCGGCTATCTTGTCGGCGAACTGCTTGGCTTGCTCCTGACGCTTTGCCTCCATTGCCGCAAGACCGTTTCGAGCTCTCTCTTCCGCCTCTCGCAACTGCGTGCCACGCAGGAGAAGGGTGCATTCTATATAACTCTCTGGCTGACAACCTATGCCAGCCTGGTAGGGCCTACCGTGACAAAGACCTCAAGAAATAATTCTACAAAATATACTGTGCTGCGCTCAGGCTCAAAGGAGTGGAAGACGAAGGCAAGGGTATTCTTGCCTTCCTGAAGATTTATTTCCCGTCGTAGACGTTGGACTCAGCGCGAACCATGTAGTTTAGAGCATAGGGCAACTAATATAATGTCCATTGAAGGGCCAACTGAATTCATCAGAATCTGGAAACAATGCATTTCTTCAGATGTCGATCCTCAGCCTCAACAAGCGGCTCCACTTCCTTGTATGGAGCAAAGAAAATTGGCGTCGATACGACCCGTTCCAGCGTACACTCGCTCACCAGGTCTTTGTTTGTGGTGATAACCCCTTCGAGCTCGTCCACTCTTGCGGTCACTCTAGCGATGTTCCGATCTCCATCAGAGACCTGTTGGGCCATTTGCATCCTTATCCCTGAGAGATGAGTGACGAGCACGGACGACCGTGAAACCATCTAACTTCAGATCGATCCGGCGATATCCCCAGTTGAGATTTAATACAAACCGAAAAGAAAACGTCCGTCACAGCCCGGTCCACCACGCTCATCATCAGCGGGGATGCATTTCGAAAATATGGACCGCAGGGCTGGAGGCGGGAGACACAATGGTCCAGATTTGACGGAAGTTACCCTTCCATCGAGGCTTCGATTTTCCCGCTGACTGATCGACAAGGACACCCCAGAGGACGCATCTCGCGAGGAATTCCGCTGGCCAGACCACCGACAGAGATGAAACGGAAAGCGCACACCGTTTCAAACCACTATTGTTTCTTGTGTCAACAATAATCTGGTCGAAAAGATACGAAACACTCGCCTACAATAGTATTGCACCACAACCACACACGACACATGATAATGTTGTCGTCGTACTTCTTTGAGAGGAGATCTACTCGCCTGCCAAGCTCTCTTCGAGCTTCCCAACAGCACGGGAGTTGTGCTCTTGGGATGCAGCGAGCTGGGTCTGCGTCTGCGAATCACAACAATGTCGTGGAAAATGTACAAGGCAGCAGCACCCAAACGAGAACAAGGGAGATGAGCAATAGAGGGGCATCGAGGACTCCAAAATTGGCCGATAGTCTGGCCTTAACGACATTGGTTGATTAGAAAAGAAAGAGAGAGGTGGAACACTGGTGATGTGAGCGGGAAGCTTCCGAATACGGACACCGATAAGGCATGGAGTTCGACACACTATTCCCTGATGATTGCCTCCGGTACAGCAGGGAATATCCCGCACTTCTCCGTACTGACAGTTACATCGAGTGCAACAAAGCTCAAGCATGAGAGTCCCATGAGCCATGTTGCGACGGTCGCACAACGGTGGCAACAACTGAAGTTCACCTGCGATGAGATATCTTCCTGCGCGGTCTTGATATCTCGTGTCAAGCGGGCGACCAGCTCCTCGAGCTCTAGACATCGTGCACGCAGTCCTGACGCTGCCTGAACTGCGCTCTCCCGCCCTCCCTCCTTCGTTGCCGCCTGGGCCTCGGCTAGTCGAACGGCGTTTCGCCTTCTGGCGGTTATCTCAGCCGATAGAGCATCCTTTCGGCGACAGGTAAGAACGTGGAGTCGGTCAGACTGCTTGCCTTCTTTGGCACAGCGGCTCCTGTTTTAGTCTAGTTGGTACCATCTGGTATGCTAAAAAATATGTGGGCGTGTATGTTGGGACCGAAAGCGAAGGAATTTTGTTTCGTCGTGGATACCTCTGTTGTAGAACGATGTCATGTGCTCTGGAGGCCTTCCGTGGTGGACGTGACGATACGAAGACAGGACTAGTCAGCCGTGAGAGACTTCTATAAGTCAGATGCGCTCGTGTATCTCCCGACTATTAGAGGTGTTTCTTCTTTATCACGGAATACTTTTCTGCCGGGGTCGATCTCTCAAAGATCATTACTGTCGACCCCAACAGCTCTCTTCTACTGAGTCTATGTAGCGCATAGATAAAACGAGAATGGGCCTTGTCGGCCACTTCCTGGGCCCTGGTCGCGACCTACTTTTCCCCGCATTCCACGAATGGTTCATATTCACCTGGAGCTCCGTCAGTTGACTCTGGGTTGCAGCTTGCGCTTCCTTTGTGCTGACAGATAAGACCTTCAGCCCAGCGGCGATTGGGCCGGTATCGATTCGACCCTCTAGCCGTGTCACCTGGTGAAGACAAGGGCATTGCGTACTATTTAGTCACGGCGGCGCAGATAACCTTGATTGACCTGCTAGGCGAGCCTCGACGGTCATCACACCATTGCCGGCTAAGTTTTATGTACCGTACGGCCAGAGGTTCTCTGTATTGTCGAAGGACCATGGAAAACCACCTACCAAACTATATCATCAAACGAGAAACGCGTTCCAACTGCCGGGGAGCGGATGTCCATTGGCGCTCAATCGTACCTCAGTGCGTACACCGGAAAGCTCATCTTCCATGGCCCTGAAACTTTTGTCTGCCATGTTGTTCAGTCGCTCCTCTGTATGCTCCACTCGACCTCGTAGGGCTGCCATCAGCTGTGGCACGTTGGTGCTTTCCACAGCTCGCTTTGCGATGTCTCCCATCATACCGGACAGCTGCGCCATGACACCAAGAGAAGGAAGTTTTTCAACCAAACGCTGATATACTGGCGGCATCTGAGTTTTGAAAGTTTGAAAAACTCGGTTGTCGTCACTTGATCGCCTGTGGTTGGCCCTATCTCTGCGAGTGTTGGGTTCAAGACGGGGTAAAGGCGGGTAGTCCTCCACGCTGTTGTTGGGCCCACACAGCGGTTCATCGTGCACGTTGAGCGAAAGAGATGGAGGTATGGCCGCAGCTCAACGAACCCGCCGATTTGTGTACTCTGCGCTTACCTCATCAGCGAGAGACGACCTCAAAAGATCTAGCTTGACGCTCGTAGCGGCCATCAACGACTCCTGCATTCGGTCACAGAAATCCGAAAGTGCGGCCACGGTAGCGTCATATCGTTATACCTCGGTCTCACTTGCAGTCTTGGGGGCATGGGATACGCAACTCTAGATACATACACAAGAACATCGTTCGGGAACACGCGACGTGTTGCCTCTCGAATGCATGTCATGTAGATCATAGTCATTCATACGTTCATGCGCCGCCCACCCCTCACCTGAATTTGCTGTTTCGACACCTTCTCCTCTTTTCTCGCGTTCCCAACAGAGTGCTGATCTTGCTGCCGTTTTTCAAGCGCCTGAAGCGCCTGAAGGAGCGAGTTCATCTTACTGTCCGACCCAGACACCGCTGCGCTCAATGTACGGACTTGCTCGCGCAACTGCTCCGTCCCATCTGTTGCTTTTCTTGCTTCTGCTGCGACCGAAAGTTGCTCGCGTTGCCGGCTTTCGATCTGCCGCAACGATTGCAACAGCGAGCTCATTTTCCTTTCCGACCCAGCAACGTCTGCGTCCAACGCCTGGACCTGGGCTACCAGCTGCTTGGTCGCTTCTCTCGCACCCTTCGCTTCTCCCTTGAACGCAGCCTGCGTTGTGTCGTAACACGAAGGAATAAGTGCTGCTGTGGTATCCTCGCGTGTACTATTGTTCGCTCACAAAACGGCACATTGAGAGCGTATGCTCCCACGATGCTTCGCAGATAATGATACGGCAAGTTGCGGCGCGTCGTGAAAACTGTTCTTCGCCCGCACTGTCTGGCTCCTGTGAGAATATTTTGCTATCATCCACTTCATCAGCCAACCGCGTATAGTTGTGCGGTAAGCTGCACCAGTGAACTCAGCACGTCAAAACCCTACATACCCAACACCTACTTGACATCCCGATACGCCACTTAAACCTCACCTCAAACTTCGCTACTCGTTGAAGAGTGCCGTTATCCTCAGCTTCTAGCTTACGGGCAAGGTTCTCCACGTCACCAGACACACGTTCAACCGCTTGGCGAAACCGAGAAGACCTCGTCTCATCGGCCTGTATTCTGGTGCGTGCCTCCTCCTCAAGAGCCTTGACCTGCTGCTGGGTCATCTCTTGCACCTAAAGAAACGATACAGCAGTACGGATGCTGAAGGAGGATGCGTGTGAGGCAGCCGCGCGGACTTCCCAAAGCGTTATAGCGCCAAGTGATCGAACCCTCTTGTCGACGATAGATCCACCCCACAACCGGTCTCCCTTCACGGCTACGAACTGGCTGGCGTACGCTTTTCGTGGCCTGTATTGCGTTCTTCGGGGACGAAGATCCTACAAGTAGCGGCCCATGTGTCCAATGGCCCAGGGTAAGCTGCATGTTGTTTACTGGAGGTTGTGCTCTGTAGTTTTGCTAGCGATATTCACCTTAGGAGCGAGGGACAGGGTGGCATCTACGCGATTTTGCCATTCTCGAATGCGAGCCAGCTCCGTATCAAGACTCCGCGTTTGTTCTCGAACCTGGACGAAACACATTCGAGCAGCAGCACCCTCTCGGCTTAGGCAACAAGGCTGTACGAGGTGCAGGTTTGGCCGTAGTAAGTTGAACCTGACAATACGTCGGATTTTAGGCTCGTCCCCTCCAGAAAGGTTATCTACTCTATGCACACACACGATGCCGCATCTACCGGAGGCATGTGATAGATACAGACGCTGGAGATTTCCCTGCAGCCAATCTATCTTCGCCTGACCGTGTTACCTTCGTGACGACCTCGTCCCTGGCGCCAAGCGACTTCAAGCTGACCGTAGAGTCCGACATCCAGTTCTCCAGCTGTGTTGAAGAGAATTGTCATACAGTTGGCAATCAGGTGTTGGTGTACCTCGGCGACTCTAACAAGCCGGACGCTTTCGTGGCAACAGGGGATGTATTAAAGACAGATTTCTACTCATGGAGCATGCCGCTCGATATGTACGAAGTTGCTTCCCATATCCTTATATGTGATGAAAGTACTGTAGATATCTTCCGTCTGCTCTTGCCCAGCATCGCCATTCTGCTACACGAACAAAGTTCAATGAAACATTACCTTCTGACCAAGGGCTGCTAGATTCCGCTCGACGAGGTGTCTCCGCTGAACCTCTTCCTCGAGTCTTTGCTCTATGCGGTTGACGTGCTCCTCACGGATAGCGATTTCCGCCCGATGATCCGTCCCTCTCACTCCGCACCCGCTACCATCGCCCACCGCCGGGCCCTTCCCATTCGGCCGTGCAAAGTTTGTGAAAGAATCCGCGCCATAGGATCCGGGGCTAGGCTGGTACTTCAACCTTGCCGAAAGCGGGAGGACCGGGAGCCGGGGGTTGCCTGCGGGGTCTGTCCGGTCATCCTCTGGAGCGGGCTTCCTACTGCGAGCCTCGACTTGAGCGTCGAGAAACGCATGATAGTCCCTCTGCCGTCGACGGCGCTCTTCGCCGCTTTCCTCGGGCTCGAATTGCATCGCTAGCGCTCATTTATCAGCAGGAGGCAAACGCACGGGCTTGCACGAAGTCGACAGCAGTCGACGCAAGCTGTAAAATACTCGATCAGGCAAAATTGTACCGGCGAGGCGGGGGAATAACATTCAGAACATGACCCCCTGCCACCACTCGTGAAATATCTCACGGATGCACTCTTTGCCAGTCAGTTTAGACTACGGTACAAAACGCAGACATTCCGTAAAAACCTGTGTGTACGCGAACGGGAAACGTCGAACGACGTCGGCGGTCGTTCGAAAACAAACTTAAAAAAAATTATGTTGTAACTGCCGGAAAGCCTTCTTCGCGTGGACCACCCGTTGCACCCAGTGGGTTTCAAGGGGCTCCGTCGAAAGAGCAAGACCTTTGGTCCGCTCGACCTTTTCGTGCACTCTCGACGCACGCTACACTCCAAGGCACCCCTCCGCGGTTGCTTGATCGGCTGGCTGGACCATGATCTGCATCGGACCTTGCTGCATCCCTGTCTCGGCGCTCTTTCCTCTTCTCCTACTCCTGCTGAAGCCTGTGCTCAATGTACTCCGAAAGACGCCGCTAGGTAATGAACGTTCCCAGCGCCAAGCGGAGTTTTTACGATTTTACCCGCAGAACTGCTGCTGTAGGCTCTCGCGACAGCAGCAGCATTCGTCGCGGGAGGCATTACACGATTGTCTCTACAACGAACGATGAGCTAAGTACGGCAAGCGGCAGTGTCGGCTGGACTATAGCACGATGTCCTGTACAGCAGTAGACGTGCTAACACTCTAGAAGAGTTCGGGAGACAGCAGTCCTGCGCAAGTCTAGTCTAGTCGTCACGTCTCGTCTACTTGTCGTCTTTCAAGTCTCAAAGAGGCTCCACCGCAGTGTAGAAAATCGTGGAAGAACAGATTTTTCGCTGACGCTACATGTGGGTTCATTGACTCTTTTCTTCGATAGAGATGGATTCGTTGGGTCATACGGATGAAATAAAAAATACGTCTGGGCTCTACACCCAGCATCCTCAGCCTGTCTACATATTCAAAAGGGGAAGAAACTGCTGTCCGTGGCCACAAGCTTACCCGTACCCAGTTCCGAAGAAGAAAACTCGTGGTGTAAGTGTAGGTCTCAACTCGACACTCGCTTCGTTTGTTCGTGGAGGTGATTATGTCATCCTTACGAAGGCTACTGCTGTAGTTTCTCACGTACGATGGTTTGTACCGTGGAGCCAAAGTGACCGTTCAAAGGGGCGTATCGCCCCGGTGGTCTATTTATTAATAGTTGGTTACCTCGAATCCTTCTAGAGGTCAGGTCAGGGGTTCGAATCCCGGCGTAAGCGAGCTTTTCTTGCAAAGAGAGTTTTTCTCTCGCTTCCGCTCCTGGCCTAGTGGATAGCGCTAGTTCGTGTGCATACAGAGGGAAGAGAGTGCTGAACTCTTCTCGCATTAAAAATCGAAGGCAAAGTACCGCAGGAGGGGAGGGTAGAGAGGGGCTCTCCTGTGAGACCACGGGTTGGAGTAAACGGCACTAGTGCTGTGAGCGCTGATTTGAAGTGAAGACAAAAAAATAAATAATAATAAAATAAAAAAATGCATAGATCTTCGGGGTATCTTCTGATGTGCCTGGTATTCTGTATCTTTGGCATGTTGCGTAGTCTTTCCGTGTGTGTATTTATTTTTCCTAATGAAAGTAAATGTTCCGAGTTCTGAGCTCCTTGCCACTGGGGTGTGGAGTGTGGAGCGGGTGTTCGCCACCTAATGCTCACTCTCCTTCCCCTTTTCGACAAGGGCAACCTAGTCAACGACTTTACCATCGCAACATCTTTTCACGCCCATCTACTGGGCCCGCCTTGCTCATCCAGCAGCATTAGGCTTGGGACAATCAAACATCGTTTTCCTGCGGAGGGTTCCGCCGCTTACCCTCGTCCTTGTGTCCAACAATTTTGTTTTGTCTCTGGGGTGCGTGTGTGTGGGATAATTATAACCCTCTCGTTCAGTGTCGGCGATTACCAGTTAAACGTTGGAGTTCCTTTCAACTTCATTCCCTCTGGAAAAGTTAATCTTGCGAAGTCTCGAGCACATCTTTTGAGTGTTGTTTGGACCGACGTCTGACAAGTGGGTACATGTCTTTAGCAGGGTTCGTTCAGGCGTCCGAAAGTGCAACTATCGCTCAATTTCCGAGATTTCGCGCGAAGACGCGGAGCAAATACTCAGTTCGAGACAGACTACATGGTAGAGAAGATGGTTCGCAATAAAGCACCGAAAACGAAAGCATGCTGTGGCGGGAGCAGGGGGCTGGAGAGAAAAGACCGTTTGAGGCTTTTCGGCAGTTTCATTTGCACATTTTAAAATACAATGTCTGTCCGACAGTCTCTCTCGCCTCATCCATTCGGCGTCACCCCCAGTAAGACCCTCGCACATCGAAAAAGGGCCTTCTGATATCGACATGTCCTAAAGCATTCCATTTGGTTGATTCGCTGGGCATATGGCTTACCTTCGCCATGCGTGCACACTCTCGCCGCCAACCATCTGTCATGGTACAGTGATCTGAGAGTGGAATGATAAAGCGCCGATGTTCTGACAACCACCCGACAGCAGGGTGGGTCAGCGGTAGCACTTGTTTCGCCGCGAGGTCAACACCAGGGACAACCAAGGTATACGCACAGGTCGTTCGAAATCTTTCTGCGTCAACATGTGGCCGGGTCAGATGGTGTATAGTCCAGCACCTTTCTTTGGGACCCACACTGATTTCCATCTGCCCCGCAACCTGTTTTACCGCTTGTGTACAATCAATCCTGAGTCCGCCAGACGACGGTGGCAAACAGCGATAGCGATTCCTTCTTTTCCGCCGCGCAAAACTCGTCGATTGCCAGCATTTTGAGCTTCTACGGCTGTCCCACCTCATGGCGCCGGGGCCACCTTCGCGCGATTAATATGTTTATGAGGATATTGAACAGGGAGGTGGGACGCAGACCATATTCCCTAACCCTAACCCTATAACCCAACCTCCCCGATTGTATGTGTGCTTCTATATCCAACATGTTGACTTTACACCAAAAACCTACTTACAAAGGCTACTCTGTGGCGCCGTGCCCTAATGTTGTGTCATCCGTTTCTTCTCGTGTACACCGCCCGGACAGCCAAGTACTTACCCTACCTGGATGCCAAAGCTAGCGGAGGCGGTTCCTATTCCAAGGGATGTTGCTCGGACGCTAGCTGCAACGACGGAACAGGCGATGTGAAGACAGTCCAGTCGTTGCAACACTGGAAGGATTTGAAACGGTGAGAGGGCCGCTAGGGTAGAATGGCCCTTTCATGCAAACTCTTTCGCAACTCGCTCTTTAAGGAAGACAAAGGGGATGGGTGAGACGGGGGGGTCGTACGGAGACAGCGAAACACCTGCTAATAGCCCGCCGTGCCGGTTGGTGTTGCTTGCACTCTTTTCCTAAGCACTGGTTCCTCCGGGTTGGCATTCATACACTTTTCATGATATGACATGCCCGGCAGGAAAAAATGTGTTGCCCCATAGACACGGTATTATTATTGCCTTCCTTCGTAGTCTTCGCAGCAGCTCTACCTAGCTCCAGCTCTGTCTTTGCAGTCTTCCTCAAAAGGTTAGTGAACAACCGTCAAGCACGTGCCCCATCATGTGTACTAGCTGGCTGCCTTTGGCCGTCGAGTCGCCCTCAATATATGTACGTACGGAGTATGCAACATGTGACCAACAAAACTAACGCCCGTTTGCTGCTCCCTCCACACACAGGACGGAGCCTCTCTTGGTGGTCGACTTCACGGCGTCGTGGTGTAAGCCGTGCCGAGCGATGGCCCCCATTTTCGAGGGCTTGGCGAAGGAGAACAAAGGCGCCGCCGCGGTGTTCGCGAAGGTGGACATCGACAACCTCCCGGAAACCTTCGACGGAACGAGCATCCCTGCCTTTTACGTGAGTCTGCCAGTACCGCCGCATGTGACCACAGCTGTAGGTACGCACTTTGCACGAGGCGGTTTGCTGGATGCCCCCCGGCGCCCTGCTGTGATGGACGGTCTGCAACCGGTTTCATGTGTGAAGATAAGACACGCTCTAGAATGCGTGGTATCTTTTGTGGGAGAAGAGACCGATCCTGTCAGTGACGGTGAAACGGTTGCTGGCGCTCGCCTGCGTTGTTTGTGAGAGAGACCAAAATAGCTGCTGCGCCAATGTCGAAGGACGCTGCTCTTGGCACTTTTAGTTTTTGCGGTACGGCTAAACAAACCAACAACTGCTGTGAGGTGCTAACAGAGAAAATACCTTCATTGCTCTCCCTCATATGCTTGCCGCGCAACGTCTCGTCTTGCTCCGATGCTACCAGGTGTTTAAGAATGGTGTCAAGGTGGACAGTGTCACAGGGTCTGGGGAGAGCAAGCTTCGAAAACTGGTGGCGGACCACGTGGGACAACAACAAGAGGACGGCAGCGGCGCGTCTCCTCCAGACGACAAGAAGGTCCAGTAGGTCGTCGTCGACCTGAACGGGGCAGAGCGCTTGTGCCGTGTATGGTCTGTGGGTGTTGCTTGGATGCCTGGGGGTTAGTTGTGCTCTCAGCCCGCATGAGAAACAATTAAAAGTGTGATACAGCAGCGCGTTGATTTCCCACCTGGCTGCAGCGGGTGTTGCTGCGTCACCGGTATTTTTAAGTACGCATGACTTGTCCCATGCTATCATCGACCACGATGAGGGATGACTGGTACCATCACATACGCAGCACATATATGCAGCACTGTACATCTGTACATCCGCATCTCTGGTTGGCAGCAACGGCGTCACACTGCACATTGGGTTTGATGCGTTCGAGAGCACGTGTTTCCTCGGGTGTCCTGTCCCAAAAGTATCCGATTCTCCAAGGATCCTGGTTGTTTGATGTTGAGATGGGGACAACAAAATCCGAAAAAACATCATCGCCAACAAAACAACGAACGACTTTAGATACCGCTACCGTGCACAGGAGCTTTGAGATCGGCGTCAAAGATATTTAGCACAGAAAGAGAATTCGCACTAGAGCAGTGGTCTGCCACTTCTTCCACGGCTGCACTCTTTACAACTATGTATCATTAGTTATCGATACCGCCCCTCTAAATCCTTTCACACAGCACACGGAGTTAGCACGTCTAGAGCGAGAGCCAACACCGAACGAACCTGCCCCCCTCCACAAAAATATAACAACAAACCCAATGCACCGCAACCAATATACTACTGGGGGAAACTCACCGCAAAAATGACTTGACACATCCTACCCTACTCCCGCCTGCCGCCCACCGCGACGAGCGGCCAAAATTCAACCACATTGCGCGGTGCACTCGACACAGCTATAGCATGTTCTCAACAGCCAAAGCAGCGTCGTGGGCAAGCGTGCGCTGTGATGCAACCAACCGTTGCACAGCTCCCATGGCGTTAGCCTCCGTGGGTGGGGCTTAACAGGCATCCGCTTGCCATTCCTCTGCAGGCTTCACCCACGCCACGAGAAAATCGGTAACGAATGCCTCATGACCCACTGCAACCCCTTGCGAAGAACAGTAGCAACAACATAGGGACTCGTCTATATATCTACTGAAAAATAACCAAAATCTAGCCACGACGGGACCTGCTCACAATCGCCGCAACAACAACAACAAATGAACCGAAAAAGTTGAGCGAATTCGAAATCCCGCCGCAGAGGACTGACAAAGCCGGTGGCCTTGCGCTACAAAATTGTACATGGCGATATGGAACCTAAAATGGTACACACCTCCGCCAACGGGGGGGGTGTCTATCGGGTTACCAACTATAAGCTCGCTGATTGGGGGCCGCCTTCCGTGCCGGCAGGGCTACATCGAGGGTGCCGGCCAGATAAACTGCCGCCCATTAGTTCTCGAAGCAGCACGCCAGATAGTCGCCCTTCGCAGTAGGGCAACAAAAGCCATTCAGCTCTTTCCGGCGCAGGAATACGCAAGCGAAGCAGCGAGGAAAATGACAGAGCGCGAGAGGCAGACAAGACAGATGGACACACAAAATTTGTCGTCAGCAAAGGCCCGGATTTGATAGATGCAACCATGTCGACAAACAAATGCTGGCCACTCTATGCTCGAAATGAGACGAGCGCACACACGCTCGGCGTGCTTGAGCGAGAGCAGGCGACCTTGCTTGCCGAACAACCCGACCGAACGTAGCAGGTGAACCCGTAAAAGAGAGGAGTAGCAACTCTTCACCAAACGTGTTGGGAAGCAGCAAATCGCCTGGCTTACCTAGCTCTGCGCACTTGGAGTTACTGTTGCAAGACGCAGGGTCTTGCGACGTGGAAGAGCTAGCCCCTACCGGAGGGTGCGGGTGCGATGCCGAGTCCTTTGCTGTCGCGGAATCGTGATGGTTGGCGTGGTGGAACAGGAACACCACCAGGTACGCGCATCCACCGATAGTGGCCACGAGCACCACCATTTCCAGCACCTTGGTCCAAATTGACTTGGGGCCCTTTTCTGCCAGCAGGTAAGAGGACTCGATGATCTCCCCATGCTGAAATTGAAAGAGGGCAGACAGATGGCAACAAGATCTGCTTGGACACAAGACTATCCCATCCTCGGGATCCATCGCGGTGGAACTTAAACTTTTTCATATACAAAATCACGTCGTTAACCAAGAACAGGGTTGTGATTTCAATATTGTTACGGGGTAAGCGCTTCGCAGGCAAGCAAACATGGAACACTACAGTAGGGGCTTCTGTTGCATGCAATGCTGTAACGCTGCTGTGGGGGGAGGGAACACCATGAGAGCAAGGACATGAAAACATGACATTTGCGATTGCGGAATTGGACAACACGAAGCTTTTAGGAAGCAGGGAGATTCGAAAGGATAACGCCACAAACGTGCAAAAATAACGCCACAATCGTGCAATGAAAGGAGAGGGGACTGACCTGTGGTGTATCTGCCAAGTTGGTGTAGCTGTAGTTTTTCTTCGGCGGCATCATGGTCAGCACACTGTCTCCTAGGGGTTGGTGACCGCGGTAAAAATGCGCAACACACAAGAGGAGTAACATGTGACAAGTTTGATTCGAAAATGTGGAATGGGGTCGGGGGGGAGGTTGGGTTGGCTTTCGAGAGAAAATACGGCAATCGATCAATGCATCTAGATCACCCTCGAGATATCAACACGCTAAGGTGCTCACCTCCTGCTGGATTCCTTTGTATCTCTCGTATGCCCTTGCTGTTGGTGTGCACGCGGCTAGATGCACACAAGAGGGACTCCGTAATTTCATAGAACTACACCAACGTACCCCCCAAAACCTGAAGCCCGGCTGCCTGCCCAAGACAACACCCGCCTGCTCAGTGCTGCACACCGGCAACGTCATGATCATCCCGTGGGCGATTTCGACGGCATTGGCGTCTTCCATAGTCTCTGTTGCAGTTGGGTTCTCTCCTCCCACTTCGTTAGGGTCCACTACAGGGCATGGTGAGTCGACACGCGGAGACGGTTATGGACGCATGCGTGGCTTTTTCTGCCCCTGCAGCAACAGCAATGTGTGTTGTACGAAGTGCTTCCCTCTGCTGCAACAGGTCAGCTGAGGCAGTGGCAACATGTCGTTCTTAATTGCCGTCGCGCCTCAGTTGTGAAACAGAGGAAACCTGGTTGTGTGAAGGGAACCTGCGTATCGGTATGCAGATGTCGGCCCATTTAGGCCCCTTCCTGCGAATCACGTACTTTCGCATCAGCTGTTCAAAACTGCTGTCATATTGATTGGGATGTTGCCGCAACCGGCACTGCGTTGGTTGCTGTGTCTGCCAGCCGAGCCTTGAATAACCGCTGCTGTAGCAGAGCCGTATCGTGGGCCGGTCGTTGCAGAGCTTGCTCAATTGACGCCAAGAGAAAAACACACGGATGGTACCGCTGTACGGTGCACCAGAACCGGTCCGTGTAACGCATGATGACAACGGCAGGAGCGGTCCGACTGGCTGTGGCATTCTATTATTGCGGACCTAGATAAGATATACTGCTGGACTGTACCCGCATCGGCAACCAAGGAACGATTGTTGATCAGTGCTTCAGCGGTGTTTTTGCATGTGGGAGGTGGGACTGCTTGTCTGGCTCCTGTGGATCAAGAGCACCACCTTTGAGCGGGGAAATACCGTGGAATCTCCCCGCTGTTGAAGATGCCAAAACAGCAGTAGGCCTTAGACGTCCGTATTGGAACACCAAGCAATCGCTACGTGCATACCAACAACCATTCCGGGGGCGGGGGGGGGGCGTACTCTTATGTGTTGCATGCCTTAGCGGTTAGACCATTGACCACGCGTCCTCGAGAGGACGGAGCATTGTTCCCACAGGACCGATCACGGATGGCCAATCATTCCTTCCTACTTTGCCAAAGGTGGCTCAAAAATGTCTTCGCTTAAAAATTGTTTGTCTAACCTAACGGTATCCCTTCCCGCCTTTTCAAACCACTTCCTACTCCCCAGTACAGCTACCGTCCTTTCCTCTCTATTCCATGCCTCAAACATCTCCCTGTACCTCCCTTACATGTACCCTTCCCTCTCCTTCTTGTACAACTGACATTCCGCGACTACATGAACACGGTCTTCGCATTCGAAGCCGCAATCACATTTGAACTTGTCGTCTTCGTCGTCTACCGTCCTATGTCTTCGTCGACGTTCTCGAAGGCCTATGTCCCCGGTCCTGAATTTGACCTTAAGCTTTGCCCCTGCATCCATTGGTCCATGTAGGTAATCCTTGAACCCTATTGCTTCTTTCAACATTCCGTACACTTCTAGACCCTCCCTATCCTCGGGTACTTTCCTTAGATTCTGTTTTTCTCTCTCGGCACAAGCAACAGATATCTTCTCCTTGAACCCCTTTAGACCCTCCGTTTCCAGCGTTTCATCTTCGTCGATGTCCAATCCCTTCCATACGTCCTCTACAACCTTGACCCATTCCGTGGGTTGTCTTCCCCTCTTTTTGTTTGCCCACTTCGCCTCCCATACTATTCTCGGCAACCTCTCCTCTCCCATCCCGCACATGCGATACTGCCATGTCAGCTTCCTTGCGTCTCTTCCCGACCGTAGGGATTGGATCCCCAATTCTGCCCTGACGACTGCATTACTTGTGCGCTTGGAGCATCCTAGGATGATTTTCGCTGGGTTCATCTGCGCCGCCTCGAATTCTTTCACTACCTTCTTATTTCCTTCCCATACTTCTCCGGCGTACTCTAGCGGCGGTACGATTACGCTCTTCAAAACCGTCAATTTGATGCGTGTATTGAGGCGCCGGTTTGCCAGTATTGGGTGCAGCTTCCCTGCTCGTGCTTTGCCCTTTTCCGCTACCTTGGACATGTGTGCATTCCGGGGGCGGGGGACGCGCGTTAGTGTCTTGCTTCTAGTCATGCTTCTTGGTGCGGAATGAACACGGTGCAATATTCGCTCTACTAAAACACAGTGGAAGATTGGCTCGCAGCGATTCTAAGACCAGTAATTGTTTGACCTTCAAACACAACGAGTCTTACGCATGCCACCGTGCTGCTACATGGTACGCGTTTGATCACACCCCGATCACATCTCTCCTCCGGCAGGCGCAACAGGTAGAACGCCAGTGTCCTCCGCTCGCGTAGGGGAGCGGTTACGGGTCCGGTGCGCAAGAGGTATCCACGCCCGTGGGGGCGGTGATCGTCATGGCCTGGACGGGATTCGACGGCCATGGCGGAGATCGGCCATGGCCATAGACGGGGTTGAAGTCGAGGAGGACAGCAAGGGGGTGGCGGCGACGATCGAGGGGGGGTGGGGGGAGCAGAAAGACGACGGCAACGTGTCCTACACGAGGATGCTCAAGTTTATTTTGCCGACGCTGGGCATCTGGTTGGCGTCTCCGATAATGAGCCTCGTGGACGCTGGGGTGGTTGGTGAGTTCGGGGGAGATGGTGTGCAACTATAGGGCAAGAAAAAATTAGTGAATCCGCACACGCAAGCTGCCGTAAGAACGGTATCGCCAGACGGGTTTGTGGGGTGTTAGTGCTGTGAGCGGGTTATGGCGGCGTTGCTCGTCCGAAAGATTACTAGAACAATTTATTTTTCATATTTTCACAGAAATACTTCACCCGCTGGAGAGTATTTTCACACCACAGCGGTCGAAGGGGATGGGTTGAAGTATTTGCTGGTTCTGCCCATGGAGAATGCGAAGAAACCAAGCACAATCCCCTTGCCCCGTTTCGCGCTGTCTCGTGCCGTGCCGTATTATAGTACGCTGCATCCTTTTGCGGTTTCCTTAGACCCTCGGTATGCGCCGCCGCAACGGAGCCATTATTTCCTTCAAACCCTTCCGTCTTGTATTATCGTCGCACGGATAATCAGGGACGAGGAGCGCGACGGAGCTGGCATCACTTGGCCCAGCGACCGTGCTCTGCGAAAGTTTGATCTACTGCAGCACGTTTCTGGCAATCGCAGTAACCAATTTGCAAGCCACAGCGTTGGCCGATGGGAAGCGGGCAGAAGCCCAGAAGGTAAGGTGGAAGAATATGAATCTGACCGCGGTTTGCCGAATAGCTTGTGGTTTTCTGATTCGGGGCTCTGGGACAACAGATGATCCCACACCGCAGCGATTATTGACGCAGAGCGCGATAGTTTCGTGCCCTCAGCCTCCCTGTCCTGTCTGCCAATCGCACCACCACCAGATAGTATTTCCTCAAGTTGAAAACCGCCCGTTTGAAGTTTGGCGTGCACGCACACCCCTCGCAATATATTCCGCTCCGCTGGTTGATTGTTTCGGTTCAACCGCTGATGATCTGCGTTGCCGTCGCACACGCCGCCTTGGACAGGTGGTAGCCCAGGCATTGGGGTTGGCTCTCTCGATAGGGTTGATGGTCGCGGTGGGAGTTCAGGCGTTTGGACCGAGAGTTCTGGCGCAATTGGCCGGAGAGAAGAGCAAGGAGGTACAGTTGTGGGGGGTCCCCGACTACGTTGGTGGTGGGGCAGCTGATAATGACCGCCTTACATTGGGCAGCCGCCTTATGCGATGTTTAGAACTGCTTGATTAGTGTACTCCCTCTATGCCTACCAATTTCACCCGCCTTATATAGGGCGACCCGCCTTATTGAGACCGCCTTATTGGGAGACCCCCAACTGTAGGTCCAAGTGGCGAACGAGCCTAGCTAAAGGTCGGGATCGCCCAAAACGCCGCTTCTCTCCTTGCTGGTGCTGTCTGAGCTTACCCCGAGGGAGGCCATGGAGCTTAATCTAGACGTGGAGTTACGCTCCGCGCTGGTTGTAGTGACAGATTCCCCAGCAAAATTGTTCGCAGATGCCACACGCCCCATCCCCGAAAGCACGGCATACCCCACAGGACCCCTACGTTTTTTCGTTCCTCCGGGTTGGCATGACAGGTGGTACCGGCGGCGCTCGTCTACTCGAGAATGCGGATACTAGGCGCTCCCGCTTCCATCGCCGCGATGGTGCTGCAGGCGGCTTGCCTCGGAGCTCGCGATTCGGTTACGCCGTTGGGGGTCGTTTTGATAGCTAGCGCGGTGAACGGGCTGGGGGATTGGGTCACCGTCTGCAGGATGGGCATGGGTGTGTTCGGGGCGGCGGCGGCCACCGCGTCTGCGGAAACCGTGAGCATGGTGCTCCTGGGCTTGGCCGTGTGGAGGGCGCAGGGTGAGTGAGCGCGGGTGTTTCAGAGGGCATGCTGTTTGATAATGGAGACGTAGGTTTCATGAGGAGGGAGGCGTCGTCCTCCGTGAGCTTGTTACGGGGTGTTTCTGTGTTCCCGCGAGTGGGTAGACGATATCTTCTCGTGAGACCGGTCTCTGCCTTTCTGGAAGCGAGGGGATGTGAATGTGGGAACGAAGTAGCTCGTGTTGGAGGCGACTACCCAAAGAAAAGAGGTCACACCCTCGCGTGCTTTTCTGGTTGCAGGACGGGCAGTATAGGTTATCCACGGCAGCAGGTGAGGCGCACACGCTGCTTGCGTGCGCCTAAACAACCTGCGACCGCAACAGAGCACAGGATCCTTAGCGCTAGCGTCGAACTTGCTGCGGCGGCAAAATGCACCCGGCGCAACATGTGTGCGAGGGTTCGTAGTCTAGGGTCCTTCCGCTACCAAAATAATCGAGATATGCCACCACCACACACGGCTCCGACACTAACCCTCGGGTGGGAATAAATACACCTTGTCTAGGAGAGCGCGTGTACAAGTTCGTGGAGCTACCCTCCGCGGAAGAGCTGAAGGTCTTCCTCGACTTCGCGGGGCCCATCGCGTTCGCCTTGCTGGGAAAGGTGAAGCCCCGGCCCTTGCAGGAGGTGTTGCTGTCGCTTGTCATAGTTGGCTGGGGTCGCTGTGGAGGTTTCGTGAGGCGTATCCTTCCCGTGTTGATCACGTTGGAGAAGCGGACGAACGAATACGTTCCGGTTCAGCGCTACAGCGTCGGCGATGCCCAGAGGCCGGGTTGCTGATGGAGCCTCGCATTTTCCACGAGATGTGTAGACAAGGTGTCCCGCGTGTTGGTGAGGGTTCGGGCAAGGCGGAATGCTCTACACTAACGAAGCGCCTTGCTCCGTCTGTTTGCCTTGCGCCCCCGGGCAGCGGTAGATTGGCTCTATTACAACGCTTCAAGACGAAAAATGTTGCTGGTGTCTCCGGTGTCCCTGGATTATTCGGATCTCAGTTCCTGACGGCGTTTTTGTTTTTCAGTGCTTGACGTGCCGTTGGTGGTTCTGGCCGGTCGATCGCCATGTTCACCCGTTTTCTTTCGACCAGTATGACCAAGAATTCGTGCCACATGCGGCCGTTCTCTCTCTTTTGTCTGCCGTGTTCGACGGCGATCGCTTTCTTGCATCCAACCCCGATGCGTGGTGCGGTTCTGGTCTCTTTCCCGGCCCCGGCAGGTGCTCTGCTACTCCGTCATGACTCTCACGGTCACCGCGATAGGGCCATTACCGCTGGCGACTCACAATGTGAGCGGAGAAGACTAGCACCTCGTGGGCGCTTGCTGTCTGTAACTTTAAAGTAGCTACATGTAAGCGCCTGGTCTGGAAGCTTGCCAGCCTTTGCGCGCAGAACGTCAGGGTCTTGCGGTTACATTTCTACCGATCTGTGAAGGATTTTCGATTCATGAGACATGAACGACATTTGAAATGACCACTGGGAAAGATTTCGGGCACCAAGTATCGTCCTTTCACAAGTATAGAGAATTCCCCAGTGTATTTACCTCGATCCCCCCCACACCGCACCCGCTTCACGTATTCACATCGTCCCGCAACGAAAGATAATGCTTGCTTTCGGCACGATTTTCAAGCGAAACCGACCAATGATGCCTCCCCACACAACCAGATTTACCCGCCATCCTGCTTGTTTTCGACCTCCTCCGACCGTCACTCGTTGCCGTACATATGTTCACTCCCTGCCATCCGTCTCATCGACAGCTCCGTCCCCTGTCCCCTGCCCATTGCGGCCGCCAGGTGATGCTGAGAGTGTTCTTCTTCTTCGCCACGTTCGGAGAGGCCTTGTCGCAGACGGCCCAAGCCTTCATCCCCGGGCAGCTCGCCAGAGAGCGGAGCATCAAGTCGGCCAAGAAAGCCGCCCGGGCTGCTGCGGCTGCGGTGGCCGGGGACACAGCCGCTGCCGAGGACAGTAGCGCCGACCCGCGGCTCAGTCCCGCCCGAACAATGATGAGGTCCAGTGGAATGTCTTCTTTTTTTTTTACAGATGGCAGCCTTGCCCGCTTGCTTCCGGGTGTTGAAGGGGTCGTTCGGATCCCACGACCATTTCATTTTCAAGCCGAATCAAACTGTAGTCTAAAGTTTTGATTTCGGCTTCTAAATGTCCTTGATTCGGCCGGTTCGTCCGGATACAAACGCGCTGAAAGAATGGTGTTTGTTTTGGGTTCTCGGTTGGTTGGAGCAGGAGGGGGGCAAGGACCTCCTTTGCAATTGAAGCGCGATTCGGTGCGAGCGCTTTCCATCCCGGCACATGCACGATGAATCCGTCTGGGGATGCAAGAGCCGTGCGTGTTAGGCGCCCGAAGCCGCCAGGCCGAAGGAAACTGTACCGCACCCCCTCCTGAAACAACGCCGACCTTGAAATTCACACGTAGCCTACTTAGTTGTTTGAATGCGAGAACTGTGCCCTCGATACCCCCTGGTTCACGTCACGGGGCCCCCACCGCAGGAAGGTGCTCATTCTTGGTGTCGGAGTCGGCAGCCTCAACGCCTGTGTGGCGGGGCTTGTCCCTCTCCACCTGCCCCACCTCTTCACCAACTCCTTGGAGGTGGCAGCCGGGATGCGGAGCCTCACGCCGCTGCTGTCGTGGAGCCTCCTCACCCACGCCTGCGTGATGGGCCTGGAGGGGATACTGCTCGCCCAACGGCGGCTTGGTTTCCTTGCGGGGTGAGCGAGACTTGTTGGAAGGGACGCCGAGTTGCGTGCACGCGGTGGTTCATTGCCGACCGCGCCGCTGTTGAAGCGAGCCCCCGTGCACTTCACGGTGTTCCGCTTATGGAAAACAAGCCGGGGACGTCAGGCACTAATGAGGGTGTACCGTCCGCCTGGAGTTGATGTTGGAAGTATTTTGTTGGCTACGTGGGGGCGACCTGTGTTTGCCAAGCGTATTCGTACGCGTTTATTTCAGTCTTGGGGGAACCATACCATTCCTACCAGCATGTCGGTTTGGCTGCTATAGCTACGGGCTATTCCTTCGTTCTACACAGCCAATAGACGAATGTTCTACCGCAGTTTCCCGTTAGCCTACGTCTTCACTTACCTTTACAGATTTCACAGATTGTTACAGAACTAAACTGAAACGCGACTGCGATTTGTACGGCTGATACACTTGATTCATTCGCGTCCCGGCCCAAACGATCTCTCTCTCGGAAGGTGCTACGCTATCAACACAGTGGTGCTAGTGAGTTTCATGCAATGGGTCAGGACGTGGCCTGCGACGCGGGGTTTGCACGGCGCGTGGATGGGGCTGTTGCTGCTGCAGATAATCAGGCGAGTCTTACCCCTGGTTTCGGCCAATCAATGGGGCCAATACATGCTCGTTCATGGACGAAGCGCAGGCGGCAAGCCGAGGCCGCTGTTCGCCGATATCAGACACATGTCCTCAGCGGACCAATAAACACCCACACCCGGCTGTACCCCCATGGCGGCAAGCTAAAACCAACATCTAAACCACGACGGCAGCCAGTGTCTGCGAATCCCGAGCCCATTTGTTCAGCGATGAGTTTATTCTAAAGTGTGCATCTCTAGGCATCATCGATGTCGGTTACAGGAAGGTGTTTGTTGGCGACGGTAACACACGACCTAGCAGCCGCCACATGATTCCAAGCTCATCGTGCGCTACAGTACAAGCAACATCGAATGCCACTACCATAGCGCCCCTCCCCCCCAAGTCGCTGCTGAAGCGTAGCTCTAGCGTTTTAAGAAACTTCGAGGTCACGCCGTGGATCAGAACCTGCACACTGCTGTCTTTACATTTACCCATCTCCTTGCGTTTTGGGTCTGGCTTCGACATACCCTCCGATCCAAAATGTGCTCAGACCGCCAGCCAACTCTTCGTTTCTAGGTATTTCAGTACTCAATTCTCTCGTGCCTCCCTGTTGTATGCTTTGCGGCACGACATGAAACGGTGGCTATTCCCCGGCTCAATGGTCGTTTCTTTTCGTCCTCTGTGTGTGCTATGTGCGATGTTTCCCGGTGTTGTGGTTCCTCGGTGCACAGAGTTGCGGAGTTCGGGATGCATCTGCTGTGGCTCAACCGGCGAAGTCGCGTCGCCGAAACGAAGGCTGCAGCCGCTGCTTAGGCGTGTCCTGCTCACCCGAATCAATCATGCGCGCCACGCCGTGATGGTGCGCTTGCTGGAGCGAACAATTCGAACGTGCCGCTTTTTTACGGTCGTTGACGAGAGCACCGCTCGCACCGAGTGAATGTTGTCTGGTATAATAATACCGCTTTTTTTGTCGATGAAGTCGATGTTTTCTTGTCCAATCGCATTGTTGCTGGTTTTGTTGATGAATCGATCCTCGTGGTGTAGATTTATTTGATATGTCGTGTTTTTTATGGGGAGACCTTCCTTGTTGGCAAGACCAATCCGACAATTCGCAAGCTTTTTTGAGGCGGCAGTTGATCGCAGTTTTTCCGCCAATCGCGGGTACCCTGGCATCGCCTGAGGGATGGAGGGCATTAGGTCACCTAGAGCACACTCACTCCTGCAACGCCACATTTAGAGCATTCCTGCTACCTACTACCCCATGACTCAGGGTGGGGTCGGTGCGGTAGGGAGGAGGGCTTGCTCGCCCGAGGGCTACTAGTACTACAGGATGTGCTCGTGTAAACGCGTGCCAATGTCGTTAGACCATAGACATCGCATCCCTACAATGCCAGGACGGAGCGATTTGCCGGGTTTCCGCCGGGCCAGGCTACGTTTCACAAGGATTAACCAGAAGCTGGCCATCATCCTTGCGTTTTGCTGTGCCAATCCAGGCATGCCATGGGTTGATTGGCCATACCGGCTAACCAAACGTTTCACAATCGGCGGCACTGCTATTTACTACGGGGGCCGGCTTCGCACGAAAAAGAACACCTGCTGAGCCACATTTGTGCATGCCATACCGCACCAACGAGAAACTGAAACGGACGAAGAGGGGTTGGCACAACTATCGCCGGGCGCAAACACACGCCCGTCCGTGGTGTCCGCGCGACATATCTCCTGGTGTGCAGGAGGACTTTATACATACGTGTGCGTGGAGAAAAGAAGCTTCGTACAGGAATACTTGCAACGTTTGAGATTGCAAGCCCTTTACTCAGCACGGCTTGACTACACATGCACATTATTTCGCTCAGCGAAGTACTTTCGAAGCCTACATGAAGAAGAGGAGCACACCACGTAAAAACACGTTTACATGTAGTTTGTTTCTCTGCCCAAAAACTAACACTCTTTTTGGAGACTGCTGTTTCCCGCCGGAATGGAAATTAAACTTGGAATTGCCGACGTCCCATTATACACAAACCATCAAGAACCAACCAAGGAAACAGGGAGCACAGCAGTATTAAAGTATTTTACTGTACACCACATCCACACAAGATCCTGAGAACCCTGTGTAGACCAACCCCGCTCATCTTGCATTTACCGCACACATCTCGAGCACAATACGACACAAAACAAGCGCGAGTTTGCAGCAACACAAGTCTCAAAACAAAAGCCATCTGGGCCACGTCAACACCATCAGGAATATGACAGCAGTACGTCGTTGTGTTGCACACGCACAAAATCATCGGTTTCTAAAGAAGAGCACCCCACCCATTGTTTTAGCAACAACCTGGTGTGTATCTGCAATTTCATTTCGTCTGATGGTTGGTGTTGACGTGGCCCAGATGGACATCTTGGTTGGACATGTATGTGTTGCTGCACACGCGCCCCGTACTGCATGGCGTTGTGCAACGACGTGTAGGTATATGTTTATGTTTATTGCTACAACAAATAAATGTGTCCTTTACCCCTTTGGCCCTAGGTTCCGTTTCGGTGGTGGACATGCAGCAGTTATTCTTCTCGGCGGTTTACCGGTAACAACTGCTGTATGCAGTACCACATAGTCTATCGCCGAAAAAATGCGGCACATCTTCATGAAACGAATATGTATTAATATTCGTATTCCGAGCAGCGCTTGGCAAGTAATTGGAACCCGCCCCCGGGTGATGACGTATATTTTTATTCTACCCTGCGGCCGTTTTTTTCCAGAAGCCCGGCACTGCTGCCCCACTCAATCGCCCCCCCTTGCACTCCTGCTTCTCCCTAGACTCCAACACCCTGCCCCCGGTCGATCACCGCCGCTTCCGCCAGCGCTGCACTTGCCCGCCCCGCGCAGCAAGCACTCCCTTTTTTTCTTCGAACACACAACACGTCCGCCATTGTGTTGACATAGCACTACGTCATGAAGACCATTCAGGAACAGGTACATACACATGCGTTTGTTCGTTCCCGCGTGTTGTTGGTCGGGTTGTTCGCAGGCTCCTTGCTGTCCCTGCTCTTGCTCCCGTCGTCGCCAGTGTTCGGGAACCGACACCGTTTGCCTCGTTGCTCTGCAGGTTGGTGGGCGCCCGCTCAGCGCGGTAACGCCGGAGAAGACCATGGACGTCCCGATCGGCCAGGCGACGGTAGATGACGAGGGCGCGCAGCAGCTACGGGAAGCAGGAGGAGCAGCGATGCCCCCTGATTTGACCATGAAGTGTATATTAGAGGTGGGTTTGACGCTCGTGCGGCTGGTGCGTTGCGAGAACTTGAGGGTAGGTGTTTCAAGGCGTGGCTGACTCGGCTTCTTCGCAGGGCGATGCATGATGATGCACATGTTTTGGAGATTTGACTTACGCACAATTTTACAGCAGTAGACGCAATTCTATTCTTCGGCTATTTCATCAACCATGATGGTGGAAACGAATGATATGCAAGGTTGTCGATCACCAAACCGACACACGCACACGCATGAAGCCGCAGATCTTGGCATCTTGAAAGGTTGTGTAGCCAGGTGGGTACCCCGAAGGCCATGCTCGTTTGACTACTGCTGCTGTAGCTCGCTGCGCGCCTCCATCTGTTCGTATACGTGAGGGCGGGTGTTTTTTTTTTTGCTGGGCTCTTCGTTTTTCCGCAGGCTTGGAACGTGCTTCCAGCCGAGACGAGGAGCGAGCTTAAGCGCCTCCTGATCGAGTCCGAGACCAGCAGGTTTGTTCTCTCAGGGTGCAGCACCCGGGGTGGCGTAGAACACGCACAGCAGTCACACGCCGCGTGACTACTGTCTCCGCTTGGTTGCTGCCCACATGGTTCCGTTTCCGTCTTGCCCCCCACTGGTTTGTCGGAAGGGATACGTGGATACGTGGGCAGCATCCCTTGCAAGAAATGCTGCCCACGTATGCAGG